ATATATATATATATGTATATATATAGTTCTTTCCCTCTAATTTCATCTATTCAATATATTTTAATAAACAATTCTTATTGTTTTACTTGCTTATTTTTTGAGTCAACATTATGTTATCTATGCTCTTTCGTACGTTGTTTTGTATACAGACAATATGTCCTTTTATAACAACTTACTATAATATCAGATAAACTATGAACACGAACGATGAGAGCGGGAAAAGCTACGCAAATCGCGCCAAAAAACAGCTAAATCATTTGGAAACTGCTACAAAAATATGTTACTCGGAAATTACATTGATATTTCTGTCCGCCGTGGGTTTTTTCCATATTATTTGCCCATTGACATTTATTCCTATATCTTACTAAAGTTTTGAAATATACAAAACGACTCACAGATAATTAAATATAGTGTTTCATTAGCTGATGAGTAATGAAAAGACTTAAACAGTATTAAAAAAAATATGCGTATTCGTTGTCGAAATACATAAATTACTTCTTATAATTAAGCAACGTAAGCCAGTTATTATCGATGTTTTCCTGTACCTCTCCCAGGGCTAGTGTTGTAATAACGCGTTGTGCAATGCGGCCGGTTTCGAAGCCGCATCCGCAAGATGCCTTTGCCTAAATTACGTTCCGTTTTTCCCGCTCGAACTAACCTTAAAGTTCAATGTACCATGTTTTAAATTTTAGTACTGATCACAAAACGGACAAATTTTTATCTTAAACAGTTTACGCAAAGATTATTAAGGTTTTTTTTTATTTTACAATGGCTAATCGTCTTTTGCAGCCTTCTTTAAAGTATATTCAATTTACAGAGATAAAGCAGTGTTAGAGGGAACAATTCTATCGGGAATTTAATTATTTTTTCATCCACTTAAAAATATTTTCCTTTGATACTGTAATTTGTCTGAATATTGTCTAGACAGTTTAATAATAAATTTTAGCATAAGACCAATGCAACAGTTAGCTTCAGTTTTTTTTTTTTTAATCTCTTAAAAGACTGTTTATTAATAAGTTACGTACACTAAGTAACTTCGTCCGTATTTCAACAAAGTGACTGTAATATTTATGACCAGCCACAAGATTGCAAATGGGTTATTTAAGTTCTGGACTTAACCTAACCCTCACCGAACCACCCAAATGTTAGGTATTCTCGTTATTTTAATAAACAAAGCAGATTATGGTATAAGATTGTAGTGGAATATGACATTTGATAATAAACCACTTTCCCCTGCGATCCACCACATCTGTACATTTTAATTGGCGACAATGCTCGTACATTTCGGTTGTTGGATCCCGTGCCCACACGGATAACGAGTTGACATTTAAGGTTGGCAATACGCAATAAAGCGACTTTCTTCTAACCCTTGCATCAGACAATGATCAGATACAGATCCGCGTCGCTCTGACGCTCCCCACTGGCACAGGAAAGTAAAAGCACGAGGCTAAACGTCAAATGTCTCACTGCGCGCCAAGAAAGTAAGCGCGCGCGACGCGTGCCTCAAAAATTTCCCTCCAAAATTTGGCATTTTAACTTTTTAATTTCTCGCGCCCCAGCTTTTTGATTATTCGTCCGAAAACCGCTCTCGGGTTACTCTTTTTTCCCATTCCACATTTTTTTTATATTTATTCGAGTCGTGCGTTGAACTTGGTTAGTGCAGTGCGCCGTCATCAAATCGTTTCATAAGTGTTACCATGTTATTGTACTCGCAGTGAAAGTGTTGTGACGCAAGCGTTACATTAGAACTGTTCTATTATGGCGGATATCGTTCGCTTTGGGAAGTGCCTTACCGTTTTCGGTGAGTTAATAGTCTAGTCTGACTTACATAATTTAAAAATAAACGAAACTTCTTAGCAATCTTTATTTAATATCACTCCGTTTTAATGTAATTTTGATATCTACTGAATTTTAAAAGAAGATAAATGTTAGATTGTACGTTGTTAAATGCAACTAACGCTGACAGAAGTAAATATTAAAATATACTCGCAACAAGGATAGGTAATAAAATACGAAATAAATTGATTGTCTTCTTAACACATAATCATGACAAGCGGATTGGGAGACGATCCAAAATCCGATATATTACCAAGATTGTCTTCAAAACACTTTTTAATTTGTTCTTTCCATCCATCATATATCAAGCCATTCGGGATTTAAAATTATCAAAGATTAAAAAGAATAATTCAGATCGAAAAATGTGTCTATTTTTTATAAAGTTCAATATTTTTTGTGCAGTCTCATTATAATAGTAACATGACATAACTACTGTCAAAATCACTAACTTCGATCATTTTTCATATTAACTTTTTTTATAAACACTAACATTGTTCACTTGTTAGTGTTTGACCGCGAAAATGTGCCTTTAGTCAAAAACTAAAGGCACATTTTCGCGGTCAAAGGACTTCTAACCAGCCTGTTTTTTTACGAATTTGAATACCTACCATTGTGTCCGTAAATGTTGAAAAAGGTCCGTAATTATAGGGTCCCTTGAACATTGACTCCCAATCCCGGTTCAGGTCAACAACCGGACGACAAAGATGTAAGGAAAAATACTTCGATATGGTTTTTTAAACCTTTTACATTCCGAAATAAATGTGTTTGGAATCGATTGTTATTGTGGCAAATGTTTATGTTTCTGTTACCCTTGATTAAAAAAAACTTTTCGCGCCAAATGTTGACAGTTTTATTTTTACGCATGTTATATCATAAACGTTATTTTTTTAGATTAATTCACACATTTTAAATTAAAATTCATGGTAAAGTTAGAGATCTGACTAATAAAAAAATCCTTTGTAGCTATGTATTTTTCTAGAATGAATTAGACAGACAGAAACTATTATGCTCCTTTTCTTACTTTTTTCACTAATTTATTTATTTGAATACATCAATTTGTTTAAATTACTTTAAGTCGAGATATCTGAAGACAATGGTCTATATCACGGCTTAACACGCCATGTCCGATTGATTCGTTAACCTTGTTCTAGTGATGTACCATCACATAGATCGACATCGATACCAATCATCGAGTGAATTTTTTTATTCTTATCAAAGCAAAAATTATTTAAATAGTAAATACATACAACTCAGATTTTTACAAATTATAATATTCATAAAAATAGGTTAATAACAAACTATTTAACATTTGCAGAAATCTAGTAACACAATATTTTACTAGAAAGTTGACTGGTTTGTATTAGATTGGGCGAAAAGTTTAACTAGCGACAATTTAGAACACAAAAAATGATAAAACTGCTAACATTGTCACTATATAAGAAATGCAATAAGCTCATTTTTTAAATAAACATTTGTATTGAATATCTCCCATTAATTTAAAAATTGATGGTTAAATACGTATTAATCAACTAAACTTAGGATTCAATCGATAGAAACAGGCAACATAATTTTGATACGGTACATCACTATACCGGGAAGGCAATTTTCTTTCTAAACAAAACAGAAGCGAGTGAAAGTGACGCCCAGTTTTCTTCAATTGTATTTAATTAGACAAATAGCGGTGCAAAAAACATAAATCAACTCATGGAGAGCGTTACAAATGCTTTTGATTTATTCGCTAACTACTTTTTAAGTATTGAGTGATGTGAAAAAGTTACCTGCCATAGATTAAAAATTTACTTTCGCGCGCAATATTTGTAAGTACATTGCATTAGTAAAGATTATCGGTTAGTGTTTTCTATATGATGAGTAAATCATTTAAGTGCAAAATTCACTGCGCAGTTTAAAGTAAATTATTGTTAAAAACGAAGCATGGCCCATTTTATTACCCGTATGGCAACATTCCGTCAATAATTTTCAAGTTTTAAACAATTATTTATGTAAACCAGCAAATACCAAACACTTGTATTATCAATATTCTAAATTGCGAATTCTTTTGGAATTAATTTTAAATTGCTATAAAATTTCTTTACTCTTTAAAATAATCAGAGGAGGCAATGTACAGATTAAAAAAAAGCAAACATTTAATCAAATCAAAAGTGCTTTAATAAATCAGACATTAATCTACACTTAGCTAAATTTACAAATACATGGACTAAATAATTTAATTATAACTAAATAATAGATATAAAATATTCATTTAAGTATAAAACGGAACGTTATTCCCGCGTCATATTTCAAGGAAGTGTAACTATATCCTTGGTCCATACAAAACTGGGACAGACGCCGGTCGTGTAATCTGTCGGGAAATGCAGCGGAAATCGAATCCCTAGTGGATTAGATGTTAATGGAACGTATAACGCAATCTCACCGCATATTGGAACACGGTGTATACACAAATGTATAGAATTATGGAACACTCTGTATGTACGTGTTTGACACAAAATTAAATGTTAGTTACCATTTATTATAGAATCCTATTCATACTTTAGTCGTATTACTTTTATTCGAGTGTTGTCACCACAAAGACCCCCAAAAAATGCACTGCACATAGAATGCATACAGAGAATGACACCACATTATAGACGGAAATCGTTCTGAAAAGTTTTTTTTAATACCAATTTCAATACAAAATAAATATTTTAGACATGTAAATATTGGTTCTTATAACTACTTTTGCATACCGTACATTTAAAGCGGACGCACACCTTTGAGTAAACTATCGCACACCGTTCTGCGATTGTCGATTGTTTCGCAGCCAATTTGAATTTGAATTTTAGTAGTAGCCAGTTGACTGTTTAGTTGCACAACTAAAAATCGAGTAATGTGCGCACCTTTAGCCTCTATCCTTCCAATGAATCGATATTGAATTGGACTAGAAGAGAATATGGTGCATGATATTTCATATAAAATTTTCTATTCTATCGAAATGCCAGCTTCATAGAGGCAACCTTTTCAGATATGGATGCGTTCATGATTCTATTATGTTCCCCGGCGATGGGTAACGAAGTTAGCTGGCATGTGCTGCATTTATATGCATAGCTATACGTTGCACACTTCACATCGGTAATATTGTTAGGATATACCACAGCATAGAGTTTCACGTTTGACATTTTGAATCTTTCAACCAGTTTCGTATAATTTATATTTGTTTGAATTTAAAATGATGACTGATCTTTTTTATTTTGTTAGAATAGTCTGTAAAAATATCACAATTCTCTCGTAAGGGTAGGTAGAGTTTGTATTTCATTTGGCACGGTCTAGACACCAATTTCTTTCTCTTCTAAGTAACTGTAGTAAAGTAAGGTCTAGTGGTTTCCTAACATCCAAGTATTACCGTTAATGTCACATATCACTGTAAATAAGGTATTGAGGATGGCAATGTCTATGGTCGAATAGTTCCACTTTACCAGCACAAAGGCCGGGAGAAAGCAGCGCTCGAGGGTCACCCGATCGTCACGGATGAGTTACGCTTGCCGTTTGTGACCTCTTTTGTTAAAACGAACAAATACCGAACTACACAACTCTCACGATATTGACCCTTTGTAATTAAACGGCTGATTTGTAAACGCATCGTTTGAGAAGCGATGAAAATCAGTCTTTACAGTCAATGGAACTCAATGTAATAAGTTTTTTAAAAAGTATAATATCTATATCTAACTCTTTCTTTAATTAAAAGCACTTATACTTACGACACGCTTCAGGCTATATATTTCCACGCTATTAAATTTAGGAGGTAAATAAATTGGAAAAAACCTCCGTGTGGGAAACGGACCATAAACTACAAGCTGCCAACATTAAGGAACCGAGATTATTATAGTAACGGTAATTTTGACATTTGACAAGACAAGAATTTGACAAATGTAAATATTAAAATGAAGTTTTTGAGAATTTCATGCGGATGACACCGCACGAGAACATATAGTCAATATAAGTAGAAAATAAACCAATCAAAAAGTTGTTAACCTTAAAATATTGAGTTCCCGCTAAAATGCATTTCAATTATGCAACTTCCTCTCACAAAGTCAACGTTTTCGTTATTACGCAAGTTTCAAAAAGCGCCAACGTTGTTACAATAACTCGGAGCGTGTTGAGTCGAGCTCGGCTGAAATAGTCCGCCATTTTGAAAAGCAAACTTCCCAGGCAATCAAACTAAATATTGCAATTATGCAATAACAACTTCCCAGATGCTTCCATAAATGTTTCAAGTCGACATTTCGGTTAATTAAAATGTTTCAATGGATTTCAAAACTACTTTAAATTATTTTTAGGTTAGTTGGATTCAGACAGAAAGGAACTACTAAGAATTAAACACGAGTATGTCGATAGGAGATCCTGAAACGATAATCTGATGGGTTAACAGATAAATACAGACAGGCGTGATGTAGGCTTTTCTAATGACTGAGATGTCATAGGAAGCATTTAGTGTTAGATTCATGAATATTTGCTATACCTCCTCAACGAGAGAATCTAAACCTAACCTAAGTTAGAGGAGGCTAGGCCATTGTCAACCACGCAGATCTACTGTCAGTTGACTATACACAAATCTTTGATCCTCGCAGATATGTGCAGGCATTATCATGTTTTCACTACAAGATGGTCGCATAAAGTCGGATAAAATACCGCACGTACATATTTCTTTATTTAAACAGTAGATTTTCACTGTATAAATACCGTGATCGTACTGTTTTTAAAAATGTATGCTTTTATACTAGGATATCGGCTGTGGTAGCTTACAATAAGAGCGACAAATACCTGAAACTAAACTATCAAACCTTTAGTCAAAGGTGTGCGTCCGCTCTAAGTGGAATATCCCCAGGTCAAATGAGCCATCATTATTACTAACATTATGACTCGGTACTATACTCACGGACTCAGTGTTGCAACACAAGTTACACAATCCGCGTCCGGGTTGCACGGGAACGTATGACGACCTAGAATATTTTTAACGTACTGACAGATTATGCATTAATGCACCGATACAAGTGCATCGGTTTCATGATGTTATATATTTTTTTATAAAGACACATAGATAATCTTTGCGACCTTGAATTTAAACCAGTCTGCCCGGGCCACTTTCTATGATAATTCATTTTTTGCGCGCTCTCTATTTGCATTGTTCTATACCGTTTGAACCAGATTGATATCGACCCTCTTACCTCAATATAAATACCATGACAGAGTTTTTTTAATAATGCAATTAATTATTAGAATCTTACCTGGAATTTTAACCATAGAATTTACTGAACAGTTCTCAATAGTGTATAGCTCTTAGACTATGTTTTTATTCCATCCGGACAAAGATCCATATGGGTTGAAAAATCTATTGTCCCAGTAGCAGTTTGTAAGTGCTTTGCTAAAATCTCGGTTAACCGATATCGAACACATCGCAAAAGCTTAGCAAAAAGCTCTTTCTAAACTGTTCGGTTAAGGGTTACATGCATTTTATATATGCCTATTTTAGCCTATACAAATCTATAAAGCCAAGAACACTTCTACACATATGACTAGCTATTGCTCGCAACATCAACCGCAATTAATGAGAAAATTTTAGTAAAAGTATGGCCTGTTACTAATTTTTAAAATCGAACCAGTAATTTTGAAGTTTATTTGCAGTATGTAAAAATACAAATCTTTCCTCTTTATATTAGTATAGTTACTTTTTAGGTTATGTTTAAGGTACGTAAAAAATAATAAAAAATACCTTAACCGGAGAAGCATTAACCGATTATAACCATATCTTTTTAGCCTAAGTCTTTTTAAATACATTAAGATATCACATATTTTTCCCGACCTTCACAAAGAACGATTTTTATATCAAATGATTGCGTAAAATCAATTACCTTATCTCTTCTTAAGGGTATTGTGAACAACGAAATGACAACTACTAAAGATGTTTGGGTTGGTTATATCAGTATATTTTAACAAGCTGTTGCTAGCAAAAACCACCGTGAAATTAAAAAAAAATATACCCTATGATACTTACCGATAACGTAGCTTTGTAAAAGTGAAGAATTTTTGAAATTGGCCCAATAGTTTTGAGTTATTTCATTGCATAAAAAAATACAATTTTTTTCTCTTTGTATTAGTCTTAAAAATCATTTTGACGAATTTGCAGACTACTATACTAGTAAAAAATATATTTCCAAAAATGATAGAACTTGGCCTTCATGCTTTATTATTAATTTAGTATATAAAAACTTTCTGCTACAAAATCTTCCGGCGTGATAATGAGTTGCGCGTGCGCATAGCTGTGCCGACATGATGTCATTGCTTTCACTCTCGCAAATCTGGTCTAAGGTCGTCTACAGACGCTGCTTATATTCAATAAGATTACTGTATTAGAAAATAAAGTTATCTCATACTACAAAGTGTTTTGCTATACATATTTAACATACGAAAACACACACTAACACAATTCTTAGTAGTGTTAGGAATAAAATTAGTACCGTGCTATAGAATTGGCGCAACTCTAGATTATCGGCATAAACGTCACGTCCCTAGCTGACGTCTGTCAATGTCACTAGAAGTATGGATAGATTTGGCGCGCAACCTAAGTCTTGACGAGAAGTATTGCTCTGAATTAAAAGCGACAATATCAATTAAATAAGTTGTCTAATAGTAGTTATTACAAATATGAAAGTTTAGATGGATGGATGTTTGTTAGAGTTTGTAGCCTAAACTGCAGAAAGGATATCAATGAAATTTGGCATAGATGTAGAGGATAGTCTGGAAGAACACATAGGCTACTTACTGTTGTTATCCTTTAATTCACGCAGACCGAGTCTCGGGCGAAAGCTAGTAGCTAGTATAAAAATAAATTTGGGTCTTATTAAGGTTTTAACGTCTTGTTAAAATGTTTACTTATAAAACATGAATTAAACATGATTCCTACGATTAAGTCACTAAATGGTATTTAACATTTACCCTAATAAGAACTTAAAGTTTTAAAACAAGTTAACGTAGCTTATAAGGAACTTCAACTTTTAAAAAAATAAGGCGTGTAAGATAAAATTAGGTTTTTTTATCTTCTGAGATATGGTGTAGTAAACAATAGTGTGTAGCCAGCCTAAGCTTGGCGGTCATTGAGTCAGCGCGAATGTTAGGCCATTGAGAAACTATTCATTGTAACTAAGAGCCTATAAAATTGTTATGAAATTCTTCAGATAGTTATATAAGATTCTGAATATTAACGCTTTAATTTAACGCTATTTTTTTAAATAAAATCCTCTTCCGTTAAATATTTAAGACTAGCTTTCGCACGCGACTCCATCCGCGTTGAAAAAAAGACACAAACATGTAGACTATTTGTTTTTCCACTCTAGATGTTCGTATATCCCAAATTTCATTGAGATCCGTTCAGCCGTTTAGGCTACAAACTCTAACACATATCCAGCCATCTTAACTTTCGCACTTTATTAGTTTTTAGGCAGTCAGATGCAAAATCAGACAGATTATTAGACTACATAGTATAGGAATATGAGCTTTATAACTAGGATGTATTTTTTTTAATTTTTGAGAGTATTTTTTCTAACTGAACTGGTCTTAGCTGAAATCATTAGTCCACGTTTTAAAATATTTTTTCTATTTAAAACAGAAATGCTAGTGTCATGTGATTTTTTTTGTGTTGCAAGTGAAAACGTCGCCGAGACCATCTTTGATCTGATCTTCCCACGCTGTGTTGCAATGTTACCATTTTAAAATAATACCATAAACAACAAAGTTGTTTTTGTATCGAAGTAATTTTTATGGTTACTAAGTTTTTTGATGGAAATATTCAATTTAGTAGAATACGTTGAGTTGTCCAGATTTTTCTTTTTAAAATGCACCATTATATACAAAAATATTAAAAATCATATACTTTTCCTTCGGTGATGGTTAAATGATTACTTTAGGCTTTCCTGAGGTATGAGTGTTCACGTTCTACATACAATGTTGTGGATTTCCCCGGCTGCTTTTTTAAAAGATTACAAAATATTCATTCTCAAGGTAACGACACAAAAATCCATACGTGATAGATCCTACCATATTGCGATATAATTGATATATTCTGATCGACTTTCTATCATCTATCGTGTACTTGAAAAAAATATTTAAAAACATCCATAGAACTTTATGCTCTTATACACAAGAAAACTTTAAAAATAAAATTCTTCATTCTTACATACTTTAACACTTAGTGAAAAAGCCAAATACTCGTTTGCCACCATATAGTTATTAAAAAAAAAATTGGTCCAAGTTCCAATAATGACCATTTTAACCTCTATTCGATTCTTTAACAGACGTCAACAATAAACTAACTTTTTTTTATCTATTTAAAGTTTTTTAACTACGAAAATTGTTATTTAATAATCTGTAACTTTCATTCCATTAAACTCATTCTTTTTAATTGAACTAAATAGCTGTTACTTTTTGTAAGACGATCTTAGAAATTGGCGCGCACGAGTTTAAATTATAGAAAAACGGAATAAAAGAATCGGTCGCTATTACGCAACAAAGCGCGCGAAACGACAACTTTCACATGAATCGCAGATTTAATCGGCAGGCTATTCCAAAAACATATGATTCACTACATTAATAATAACCTAAAAAAGATGTGACGTTTTGATTTTTTAATTTTATTTTAGGCAAATAGGTTATGTTGGTTTATGATTTGTATCAACACAATTAGTTTAAAATACAAATAATAATTTGCAAATTAAGATGTTACTGTTTTATTTTTAATTACAATACATGGTAAAATATGAAAGGCGAATTTTTATTTAATCGTGATTCATAGTGATACTGGTAACACGACAGTCCCAATTGTTCAACCACACGTAATGAGACTCGTATTAACGTAACGGATAAAAGAAATTCGGTAATTACATGACCTGCATTTGTCCTTACCTCCTTATGTTATAACTGTTCTTGGGTCGAGACAATTTGCGAATCTCGCGTTTATTTTAACACTTGCAACACTTAAGGTGTATTACACATTGTGGAACAAGTGATAAAAAATTAACAATGATGTTCGGAATTTTGATAGTAGCAAAAAATTAACAAATGGAATAATATTTCACAAACTTTTAAATTACAAACGTATTTACTACTTATTAAAAAAAAGTAGCCTTGTAAAAATTGTTAACATTATTTTTGTTAAAGTCTGATAACCATAATTTCTTAGCCGAACTTTTGTTTTATCAAATTAAAACTTTTTTTTATGAAAGCAGAGAAATGCGTCCACATCAATACCATTCGTTCAGTTGTAATTCGGTCAACGGTCACACACAATCCGTCGTTTTGTAAAGAACAAAACATTTCCCACGGCTCTTGTGATCCCCACTCTCTAATTTGTTAGTGTTTGATTTCACTCACTCAGGCTAAAAGCTGATTATAGCAGATTGCCAGAAAAAATAAATTGAAATTGTCTCAGAAACTAAATGACCGTTAATCGTTTGACCCAGTCTGTTTATATGTGAAAAAGTTGGTGTTCGATAAAACCTGATCTCACGGTCCTTTCCCGCTTATCATTATCATCTCAAGACTTTAATTAGGTCACCAGCATGATAAAAAGTTGCCAGACGTTAATTTTAATTTACTGCTAATTTGCGATAAAAAGATGTTAATTCACGCGAATATCAGTGAATTATATATATTAAACTGAACAAAGTTGCTAAAAATCTTGATATAACTAGTATTTTTAATTTATCTGATGAACATTTTGCTTTGTATAAGCTATCTATAGGCAAATTATAAAATAAAATATATTTGAACTAAAAAATTACTTTTTTTTCTTTTCAGGTGTAACCAATTTATTCCTACCCTTGCTTATATCATGCCAGTATCAGTCAGTTCACCACCCGGGTAGGTACGCATCAATAGTTTTTCTATCAATGCTATATTTTACAATAAACAAGTAAAAATGTAACCGTTTAATTTCTTCATTATTTCCAGTCTCCTTCGTACAGAGAATGGGTGAAGCTCCCACAATGCACATACTACCAAGAAACCCCTATTGGAATCAAAACTCAATGCTAAGGAAGAGGTCACCAGATTCCCTGCAGAGGCCATACTACGGTCCATCTCAATACAATCAACAGTTAACGTATTACAACAATCAGCCGTACAATCAGATTCCAAATCAAATACCACAAACATACCCCCACTATGACACAAGATCGTCAGTAGACCTAATCCATTCTGAAACCAGAGACGGTATACCAAATGATGGAAGATTACTCTCAGACTCCGCGTTTACCAGGATATCTGAAACCCTAGGAGCTATAAATACTGTAGGACATTACCTCGTTGACATCGTGAACGAAAATGAAAGAAACGAATCCAATCCAAATCTGCAACAGCTACCTCAAGCTCTCTACACATTAAGTAAAAACGTACTGGGTAGAAATGTCACTGATAAAATTGCACCTATAGTCAAAAAAGCCCTACCTAAAGTCCTACCTGACGCACCAATAACCAAAATAGCTACTGGTGATGTGAATCAGGAAAACGATGCGAAATACTGCACCACGCCTGAAGGGGAAGCAGGAGTTTGCGAGGATCTTAGCAATTGTCCACAACTTCTGTTGAATTTGATAAACCTTCGAGAATCACTGTGCTTTAAAGATTTATTCGTACCAGGAGTTTGTTGTCCAAGAGATGCAGTTATACCGTCGATTACGGCAGTAGAAAAGCCGGTTGTAGCAACGACATCAAAACCAACGTATCTATTGCCAGTAACAAGTCAAAAGCCTGTCACAAAACCAACAACTACAAAAAGGCCTTCGGCTGTCCTAGTACTTACTACAAAGAAGCCCAAGCCGCCGACGACAACACGACCGACCACAACATCAGCTGCTCCTGTGACGACGTCGCGGCCAGTCTCCACGACCAGCTTCTACACAGAACTGCCACCATCTGTCGCTAACTACTCTAATATTGTCGATGCTAGTGGTAAGCGCGTACACTTTCATTGTAAGATTTACTCTTGATCGTTCATCATATTTATTTTTTAAACTAACAATGATAAAAAACACAACATCGAAAGAAAAAGTGCAAACGTGTTTCACTGTTATTTTTTTATAATAGCATATTAAACAACCTTTTAGAGTGTGGTCAGCGAGAAGACGAAGGTGGTCGTATCGTGGGAGGCACGGAGGCGAAGTCCGGCGCTTGGCCTTGGATGGCCGCCATCTACCTACACGGCAGCAAGCGGCGCGAGTTCTGGTGCGGCGGCACACTGGTCGACAGGCGGCACGTGCTCACCGCCGCGCATTGCACCAGGGACTCCAAGCAGCGACCGTGCGTACAATGAACGACATAGCGTCTTCTAATAAAAAGAAGCCTTAAATTTAGAGAATATTTCCACCTTATAGTGTTAGGTCTTTTGTAGATCAGTACAATTTTTTTCTCATTTAGGCAGTCTCATAAAAGTGTTGTTCACATTTAAATAGTACCCTGTGAAAACTTTACTTCCAGCCAGTATTTAAAAGACTACCAGCATTCTTAGCAATTACCAGGTTCCCCGCGAGGCAGTTCAGCGTGAGGCTAGGCGACGTTGACCTTGGGCGGGATGACGAGCCCTCGCGCCCTGTCACGCTGCGTGTGACAGCTGTGAGGGCCCATGAGCAGTTCTCCAGAGTCGGATTCTATAATGATATCGCGATACTGGTACTATCGGGTGAGTGATATTCTTACTTAATATTATAAATGCGAAAGTTTAGATGGATGGATGGATAAATGGATGGATGGATGGATGGATGGATGTTTGTTAACGTTTGTGGCCTAAACGGCTGAACGGATCTCCATGAAATTTGGCACAGATTTAGAGCATAATCGGGAAGAACACATAGGCTACTTTTTGTCCCGGGAATAGTTACGGTTCCCGTGGGATTCATTAATTTAGTTTTTTAATGTTTACTCGATCATTCTGCAACGGTTCAACATATCTTATTGAAATTTGGCAGAGATATAAAACAAAGTCACATGGGATAAGCTTCATCCCCGAGAAATGTCCGGTTCCCGAGGGATACGTAGCTATTTGTAATTTATATAGTTCGTATGTTTTCTAATACTACGCGGACGAAGTTGCGGGCAACAGCTCGTAGTAACTAATCCACAAATTATGTTAAGCTGTTGGTACTTGAAAAGGAGAATATTGAATTTTCCAACTCAGATATTATTGTAGTAATATTACGTACGTTACACTGATTCGTTTAAAAAATACGATTTAATTGGTATTCGTTTAAAAGATACGATTTTATTGGTATTTTTTCAGAGAACGTACAAAAATCGAAATACGTGATACCGATTTGCCTGCCACGGGGCGAGGTGGCGCGGCAGCAGTTCGACGGTGCTATGGCCACCGTGGTGGGGTGGGGTACCACACGCTACGGCGGCACCGAGAGCTCGCGGCAGCTGGAGGCGCGCATGCCCGTCTGGCGCAACGAAGACTGCGACAGAGCATACTTCCAGCCCATCACTGACACCTTCCTCTGTGCGGGATATACTAGGGGAGGAGTAGATGCTTGTCAGGTCAGTTCTATTAATGTATTTTTTTTTTATAAAATACCAAAGTAATACGCGTAATAGTAAGCGGATACACCTTTGATTAAACTATCGCACAACCGTTGTGCGATGGTTCCGCAGCCAATTCAACTGATTAGTTGCACAACTAAAAATCAAGTAGTGAGACTGCAACATAAGCTCATAGGAATCATGCGCGACCAAACAATCGTGCGACAGTTTAGTCAAAGGTTTGCGCGCGCTCTAATATGTTCTTCTTACTTGATTTCTACCTCTTGAATAGACTGGAAATTATAACGTTAAAACAAGTGTAGTGTAGACAAGAAACTAACACTTTTTTCCGTTTCAGGGTGACTCCGGAGGCCCGTTGATGTTGCAAGCAAACGGTCGCTGGACGCAAATAGGCGTCGTATCATTTGGCAACAAATGCGGAGAACCGGGCTATCCTGGCGTCTACACCAGGGTCACGCGTTACCTGTCCTGGTTGCAGCAGAACATAACTTGAAGCTCGTCTTTTAAGCCTTCAGTGAGGGCGCTAGTGTGTCATTTTAGTCTGGGATATAATTTATAGTTTTGTATGGAGCTTTACTATCTGCTAAGTATAGCAGCCATAATATAGTGTTAATATTTTAACCAATAATTATGAATTACTTTTTAACAGCGATTACCATTTTTAATTACTAATTGTTACCAAAAAAATATCTCTGTACCGAATATCTGTGAATAATTGAACTTTTTTTTAAATATTGATAAATTATACCGTGTAGAATGTATTTTTCTTTTCATTGCTAATTAAGGTAAATATTTAAAAATAATTTCAATTTTATACTAAACCATTAAGGTCTGAAAATCGTTTACCTGTGCTTTTATTTATATAAATTAATTAGCCTAATCTTGTTTTATCTAATTATGTAAATATATTTTGAGACTTATTTTGCCTTTTATTTCTTCTTTCATAAATGTAATTTCTAAAATGGATATGACATTTTAAAAGCTTTAAAACAATATTGTATCCTATGCAACCCTACATGCAGCAATTTACAATGTTGCGGCTTGCCCGGTAGTTTAGACCTAGACTAATCTAGCCTACCTGATAGCCCATTGTGCGCTAGAAACCTAAAAAACTTTAAAAATCACATGTTGCCAGCTGAAAATAACAATTTAGAGTAAACCGTTATGTAAATTAGAGTGTTAACCAAAACAATGCCTAAATGTTACACCAAGTAATTTCATTTAAACAAAATATATCTTACATCTTTTTATAGTTACGAAACTTTACGATTGATTTTTTTACTTAATATGAAAAGCAAAAATTACCACATCTCACGATTGACAAAATGGAGTTTTTGACAGATAGATAGACATTGACATCAAACTCAAATAGACATTTCAAAGTTGTTAATTTAACGTCAAAAATTTATATCTAAGAAAATAAGTCACAAACTTCTTTGAAATACTTGATTCATTTTATTTAAACCAAATATTTAAAAACATATAAATATTAATAAGCACTGACATACCTACGCGCGACCACATGAAGTTAGTGTCTTACATTAAGTGCGTTTAATAACCATGCTGAAACACCCCACATCTCCTACTCCGAACTACCCTAGAAGTACATCTCCTTTACCAGCTCCAGCTAACTACCAACCAACAACAGCTAGTGCTGCAGTAAAACGATACAAATACTTACGAAGACTCTACAAATTTGACCAAATGGATTTTGAATTTGCTGCATGGCAAATGGTTTATTTATTTGTTTCACCACAAAAAGTATTTAGAAGTTTTAATTATAGAAAACGTAAGTAACTCCGAACTTAGAACTTCAAAAGCCGTTATTTTTCGTAATTTGTAGAGTAAATGGTTGTTTTGCTTAAAATAAACATTTCCTTTTTTTAATGTTTCAGACACGAAATCGCAGTTCGCACGGGATGATCCAGCATTTCTAGTACTGCTCTGTGTCTGGTTGTTTTGTAAGTAGTTCACTTCTATTGTCACTTAACCTCAAAATGATTTAGTGCCCAATATTCAGAACTTTTATTTGAGACATTGAGAGGTATGTCTAGAAGATAAGGATGGGCAAATGATATTGCCAGTGTTATAAAAGTGCTTTAATGCATCTAACAGGCCATCCTTAAATAATGACACATGAATTTCATAATTTTTGCCACTCATACATGTCACAGCTATAAGGCCTTACTTAGTGTGGTGTAACATTTTACCTAATAATTGTAGAAGTTAAGGATTGAAATTTGTATATATGTGTATCCATTCTGTATGTGTCATGTCTTTTTATTACTCGTATTTTAATGAGGATTTTATATTCCAGTATCATCAGTATGCTTTGCGCTGGCAATTGGCCTGAACTGGGGCCAACTGGTGCTGTTTGTGCTATTTGTCGTGTTTGTTGACTTTGTTGGAGCTGGTATATTTGTGTCTACCATATTTTGGTAAGTTTTCTTGCAGTAAGTTTGACATCTGTATTAACAAAAATGGCTATGTGACCACAACACAGTTTGTGTATTGCTCTTGTAAATTAATTTCTTTGTCCTTACTTTAACATAAGTTCTGCTGCTTTCTGCACTTATACAAAATCTAAGTTTTTTTAAGTAAAGTGGAAAACCATGTTTTTACTTTTTTGTAGAAAGCGAGTCTCACTTTCCAAGACAACAAAAATAGATGGAGAGTAACAATGGTAGAGCCCGCTTTAACATCTTCGCATGAATAGTTTGGCTCACCCAGTGTAATACCAAGACCACACAGAAGACAGGCGTAAAGTGGGAGCAATTCCGCGTTTCGTCTGATAGTGTGGTGACAGAAGCCTAGTCTTAGTCCCTTTTTCTTTCCACCCTTTTCTTAACAGGAAAAGATAGGAAGGAAAAGTGGATTTGACAGCAAAGGAGACATACAGGGAGAGGATATATCCTGTTTATCTGTGTCTCCTCTTCCATTAATTAAGGCAACGCATTTGCGGATGTCTATGGGCAGCATTCGCTTCTCCATTTTGGTGGATTCAGGTGGCCACTTGCTTGTTTACCACCTAATATGAAAAAAAAATGACTATTAAGGTGATTACATATTTCAGGTATTTAATCAATAAATATTTAAGACGCGATCCGGCAGCGACTGAAGTGGAGTGGGGTTACACATTTGATGTACATATCAATGCCTTCTTCCCACCGCTCTCTCTGTTGCATTGCTTCCAGATCATTCTATTCAATGGTAAGATTTATTACTCATCTTAATTCTTACTAATATAAATGCAAAAGTTTAGATGGATGGATGTTTGTTAGAGTTTGTAGCCTAAATAGCTGAATGGATCTCGATGAAATTTGGCATAGATGTAGAGGATAGCCTGGAAGAACACAAAGGCTACATCCTTACGATTTTTTTAAATTCCATGCAGACAGAGTGGCTTTTTTCTATAAAATAATGGAAAGTTTAACTAGTAAAGTAATATTTAAAAACTCTGAATATAATTTCTCATGTATTTTTTTTATAAAATTTAATAACAATATGACCTGTATTATAACAGTACTGGTGTAACTATTAATGGATTGTCTAAAAATCTCTTCTTTGAATGTTCTTTTATTTCAGATCTACTTCAGGGTCATGGGTTCGTGCCATGTCTAGTAGCAAACACATTTTGGCTGGCCTCGGTCATTTATTATCTGTATATCACATTTTTAGGTTATAGCAGTAAGTATTTTTTTATACACAGTATAATATAATTGTCCTGTCTAGTTTTTTATTTAGTCCTTGACACATTTTTTATTTTTATTGAATTATTACTGGCTGGAAAGAAAATTACATCTTCTCGACGATTTTTTTTTAATTGTTTCATTTTTTTACAGATTTACCAATGCTGCAAAATGCAAGAGTATTTTTATTACCTCTGCCCATACTAGTTGTTGCATATTTCTGTACATTAATAGCTAAATGGAATCTCAGTCAAATGTTAATAGATTTCTATCATTACAGATTATTTTAATACATCTTTATATTATGGCAAAAGTCAGTTTCTATTATGATGATAACTTAATCTTTGATATTTGGTACATAGGTTAAAAAAGTCACCGAAAAATATGGATAAGACGTGAATTGGGAATTGTTACATTTTAGAATAAGACTGCGTATAATTAATAAAAGTATTAATAAGTTAGTTGTAAAAGTATTTTTATAATACAATATATTAATGTGAATATGTTTTACACATATTTTGTTACTTGTATTTAGTTGCGATCAGTACCAGTGCTTAAATAATTATTTTTTATTCTTTTCCGTCGTAAATTCTCAACAATTTTTGTTTTTTTAACAACCCTTTTTTTGTAATGTTAACTATAATTTGATTTATAGTAATTGACCATCAAGCAATATTATTAATGTGTATAATAAATAATTTTTATTCAATTGTGTTATAATTATTTCTTCTCACCTGAATTGCCCGAATACACAAAGAATTTCATTTTCTAACTAGTCTTTGATTTAGTTCAATCACTTTCAATAAAATCGTCGTGTAAAAATAAAACGACTTCTATTCAATTTACAATTTAATTAAATAGTTTTTATTCTTATTTCAATCATCATCTAAAACAATAACTTCATCAGATGATATCGGCTTCGGTCTCTCCTCTCCGAACGCCAAAGTTTTCTTAGCTTCTGGTTTTTTAGTTTGAAGCCCTGAATTTTTTAACGAAAATGTCTTCGTAATAGTTAGAGATGAAGGTAGTCGACTTATAGAAGCGTTTATTTCTTGTGATACGTTCTTTGGTGCTGGTAAATGCTTCTTACGTTCTGCTAACTTTTCCTGTAACGTTTTGCCAGGACTGACTTGCTGATGAGTCAGTGGGGCTTTCGGAGCTGACGAATTGGACGATTGGGCTTGCGTCAGCTGTGAAATTTGTCCGCTGTAGTGAGCAGACGTAGGTGGGACTCCGAACCCGGGTATATTTGCGGACAATGATGCCGGTAAAGTAGGAAGAACCGTCCCCATACTAGGAGCCAAAGGTCCAGATATAGACTTCTGCAAGCTAGTTATAACCGATGTCGGAGCGGATTTCGCTGAAGACGGTAATGACGAGGAAGTAAATGACTTTGATTTTATAGGTGCAGACACACCCGATATGGACCTAGTAGTGCCGGGTTTCGGGCCACGTTTTTGCTTCTTCGGCGGAGGCAGATTGAAGCCAGAATAACTTCCGAGATACTGTCGATAGAACTCTGACTGGAAGGAATTTTGCATGGACGATTGCAGAGAATTTTGCAAACTGGTGTAACCGGCTAAAGCGCTTATTTTACTGAAATATGACAAAGCGGCCGCTGTCTGTTGTGAGAGTAGTTGATCGTTTATTATCGGGTAGTTCCGGAAAGCCGCTGCGATATCATGAGACGACATTTTCGGTAGGCCGGACGAGCTAGCTGATTGTGAGCTGGGTTGTTTATCGGGCTTCGCTTGACTGACCGGCGCCGGGGGAAGAGCGGGAGTGCTCTTTACTACTTCCACGGTTTTAGGCATTTGTTTCTTTTGCTGATTTTGACTCTTATCCAAACTTGCTAAAGCCGCTTGTTGTTTGAGTGTCATTATATGAGCCTGACAGAACTTCATGCTGAGATCAACTAAATTAGCATTTTCTGGAACAGGTGTGGTCAGGATTAGTTTGTATGCGTCTATTAGCAAATTTGTTAACTGTTTCGAGTTGGGTTGCTTTTGAACTCTTTGATACGCACGATATATGTCGAGCATCAAGCTTTTCAGTGTTTGACGTTCAATTTCGTTACTCTTCAAGTCTGCCTGTTGACTAAATTTCAGCAACTGTCCTTTCAATGATTGTACACAAAGAGAAAACGCTTGCTGTGCCAACTCTTCTCTATCAGAGTCTCGTAAATACTTCTTGTCGAGATCCGGTATTCTTTGTAAATGCAAATGTAAATCGAGTAATGTTTTGTGGTCGTCGATCTCTTTCAATATTTCCATGGTAAGCATCACAGAGCGGTTCATATGAAAAGCGAAGCTGCCACCTCGTTCCACTTCCGCCGAAGGTATTTTCCAAATGTTATTAAAGAAATTCGTTGCTTTTCTTTCACTGAAGAGTCCGCCGAGTTTTTGGCCGCATCTCATTGTAAAGTTTGACAACATAAGATCTCTGCATCTTTCGATATCTTTGCCCTTTTTGTAGTAAAAATGATAATGAGCCAGTCGATAAATAGCTTTGTAATGTGGCGGAAAACGACTGGCGCAATCTTCGAGAGCGTCCAAACAAGCTATAATTATCTTCATAATTTCCTCGTCTGTCAATTGTTTGTTATCGTTCGAGGACTTAGTGGATGTGTTGCTATCTCTGCTGGACTCGCTGCTGCTGTCCGAGGAGGACTCGCTGGAACTCGAGTCGGATGATGAGCTCGATGACGAACTACTCGAACTCTCGTCCTTTTTATTTTGTTTTTCTTCTTTATTATTCTCACTATTTGGCTTTCCTTCTTCCTTCTTTTCTTTCGGATCTTTCTCATTCTTTTCTACTATTGTAGTGTTGTTTGTGGTCTTTGGTTCTTTTTCTATTTTCTCTAACATCTTTTCATCATTTTCCTTTGTCGTGGCCACGTTTTGCTTTTCGGTCTGATCTGTATCCATAGGCTTACTTGATTTTTCCACCGACTCATTTAACGTATCTTTGTGTGCAACTCTTTCTGTATCATAAGAAGCAGATCTACGGACTTTGGCGGCCGCCGCCTCCAGTTTCATCGTTTTTGCTTCATGTGTATCTTCTTCCCCTGCGTCGCTAACAGATCTTTTCAGTATATTAGCAGCGTGCACGGTTTCCTGAGATTTACCATCGCCGTCCTCACCTGCATAGCATTTCTTAGACTTTTTACTAAATGGTCCATTTTGCCATTCATCGATACACATTAGAAATACTTTGCCAACGGACGCTGGAATAGGTTTATTTTCATGTTGCTCGATAAACTTTAAAATCGAAGCGTGTATACGGTAATGTAATTCTAACACTTCTATACACAAATTTGTTGGTGTACTGTAGTTAATTTTTAAGGGATAAGTGGCGTCAGTTTCTTGTAAACTTTTGACTCCTTGCATGTAGAAACTTAGATATATAGACGGTGCCTTATTACGCTTTTCAGCCACTTTTCCCAACATATAATACAACAACCAAGAATTCTCATTTGTTTTATCGAAGTCATTGCTGACGTTGAGGTCATTTAAAACCGTGTTGTAACATGTGTATGTGCTGTCCAACATATCCTCTTTCTGCTTTTCTAACGATTCAAAATCTTCCATACTTAATGACTCGCTAGCTTGCTTCAACAGTCTAGAACAGAAAGAATGAACCGTGTACACGAAATTTCCATACTCTAACCACAATTCGCTACGTGTCGAATCTAAAGTTAAGGCTCGCTTGAAACACCGTATTGTTAATTTTGCTTGGTTAAGAAACTCCCTTTCGTTGTTCAAGTTTTTGCAAGAATTTAAAACTCTCTCTAAATGTACGCCTTTAGCAAGCGATATTTCTGCCCAAGATTCCAACCTATCGTTATTCAAGATTACGTCCAACATGTTGAATTTTATTGCCATTTTATAGTCCTCTCTTTTGAAATAGTAATCGCCCAACAAAAAGTATATATCTTTCATTTTATAGGGTAATAGAGGCGGCACCGTTGGTAATTTATTATCGATACCTTTGATGTATTTCTCTAAGTCGGGCAAATACTTATTTGGATCGCATTCTGTGGGCAACAGGGCAAGAATACGATGAAACAGCTGCTCAACATCAGTCGTAATGCCCGGCACTTTGCCTTCCAAAGCTGGGAGTATATGAGGCCTAAACACCTCGTACAATTGCTGCGCTCTCTTCCAATCCAATGAATGAGATCGAACACCATGATCTTTCAATGGCGAATTTTTGGATTTAGTCTTCTTGCCTGGGTGTCCATACAAACAGAACACACACTGTTCCATGTATTGACACACTTGTTCTAAAGATTTCGCTAACGACGGAGATCGAAGACGCGGCACCACGGTATCTAAAATAAAATACAAAAGTTTTGCGTCTGAGTGAACACACCAACTTCTATTTCCTAGTTGCTCATGACCAATGAATAAAACCATAAGCGGATTGGGTACTTCATCACAGGCTACTCTGTCGTTGTCTGAGATCGTGCGTCCTCTACCTTGGTCGTCTTCTCGTTGTAAAATGTAGTGCATTATGACCCATGGTGCGACAGTTCCGAAGGGCATTTCTGTTGCATTCGTTTCGACTTGGTGACCAATTATTCTAATGAGATTCTCTAACGCTTGACTTAGCTCTTTTTGCGAAACGGATTCTAAACAGTTTAGTCCTTCTGTAGTTAAAATGTGTTCCATACAGGATAGTACTTTAACAACAGTCATTGTCCACTTCTCATAGTCCTTGGATCCAGAAGTAAATCGGAAATAGTGTTTCAAAGCTTCATGCAGACAGGTCAGGGACCATTTGAAGCAAGTTTCAACTTTGTCTAAAGCCCAACACGTGTCTAAAATAATTGACAACTGAACTGCAAAGTCCAAAGACATTTCTTCCTCTTGTGTTTTTGCCATATCTTTACAATGTTCAAATGAGTCTATTACGATTTCCAATACTTCTTCATAATGCCCCTTATTATACAATTCCATGACAGTGGACAGCTTCTTGTTTCTTTCTAAAAACATGATGTACTCTGTAATTTCACCTTCGGTTATAAGAGGTTTAAAAGTGAAATTGATATTATTCATAGTGTAATTATCATGATGCTCTCCCATTGCTTCAAATTCACAGAGGAGATGGTAAAGGCTGTCAAGGGCAAAGTCTTCACATTTATTGAGTAAATAAGCATGAATTTTAACCCAGAGTTGTCTTATTATGTATTCTAGGCAAATTGTACTTGCGAAAAGGTGTGGTTTTGAAGCCAATATCAAACCAATAGATTCTATAACTCCTAACTCATGCCCAGATTTTTCATTAACATTTTGATTGAGCTTGGTATTAACTGATATTTCTTCAGCTAAGATGTTAATAGCAATGTAATTTAACAAATCATCTTTATTTTCATCACGGCAAGCTGGTACATCTATATGTGTGTTGTAACAATTGTTTGCTTCAACAAATACACTTGTTAAATCTTCAGGCCATTTTACTTTCCACTTTGAAGCTAATAATGAAAGAAAGTCTTTTAATATATCTATTATATCCCTTTTACTTTCTTTATATTTATTTATGAACTCTTTAACATCTACCTGCTCATTCTCACTACCAAAATATTCTTCTTCAATTTTAGAATCTGATTTCTCTTTTTCTTCAAATAATAAAGTAAGATTTGTTAGATCTGTTGAAATATCTTTATCCTGGTTTTCTTTCTCTTCAATCGTTTCTGGTGATAAAGCTATAGGAACCATTCTTCTCAGTGTGTCATAAATGTTGTCATCACAGCGTTCTTGCTTGTTGCTTGGTTTCTTACGTCCCGAACGTCGTTTGTTGCACCACTCCCATTGTTCTAGGAAGCTAAGAGCACTGCCTCTGCGGCGGACTGTCGTTTTCTTTTGTACTTTAGGCTCCGGAGCAGTCTCAGCAGCAGATTCCGAAGCAACCATTTCCACATCACTTTCCACTTTCTCTGTATCCGTAACTTGTTTATCAGATAATTCATTATTCTCATTCTCTGATACATTTTCTACATTCTTCTCAGTATCTGTATTTATGTCATCAATTTTATTATCTGTGTATTCAATTTCTTTCTCCTCTATCTCACATACCTCCATTTTCTCTTCAATTTCAGCTTTCTCAAAAACTAGTGCTAGATAACAGGCATGGCTGAAATAGTTCTCTGTCATGTACTTGTGCATATGAATCAGTGACTCACCAACAGCGCTCCATGTTAGACTACTTATAGGTTTTTTCAACTTTAAATTTGGCAAAACAGATTTAAATTGCTCAGAAATTTGCTGTTCAACAAATATTTTATTAATATCACTAGCTTCTTGTATAAGTCTTGTACCAATTTCTTCATCAAATGGTTCATCATCTTTCTCATTCCATTTGTAAACTGGATTTGAATACTCCATGTAATTTCTAATGTATGGAAACTCTTTATAAATGTACTTACGGTATACCAAACCTCTTAAATAGTCCGGATCAAGCTGTAGGGCATCATAAATAGCGATAATACACTCATCTTTATAGTCTAGTCCCAATAACAGTGTGATTATTTTATCTATACATGGCCAATGGCTAGGATTTTGAAGGACACCACGCTGGAATGCCTGTAGAGCAGTTTCATAATGTTTTGCTCGCATACATAACAAACCAAAGCTATGCCACAGTGTAACATCAGTATCATCGAGCTCTGAAGCCGCAATATACGATTCTATAGCCGCTTCCAACTCATCTGCAGCATTCTGCATTGCAGCTAAGTTTTTGTAGCATAAGTATTTTAAATTAAACAATGGACTGGACACTTTCTCACCAGGAGCAGGTTTTTTAACATTGTACAACAGTTCTGTGTCCAGTAAATCTTTTAAAAGCTGTGTTGCGTCAGTAAGATTGCCCTTTCGCTGAAGATCAAGAGCTTTTGCATATTGTTGTAAGGCGATCTGTTCGAGAGCTTCTCTCGTTACTTCCTCTTCGGAACCACTTTCTTCGTCTGATTCATCATTTAATGCTGATATTTTAATCATATTTATACGAACACAACTTACAATATAAAACTATAAACAAAAATCAAGAACCGGAAACCATCTGTCACATTATTTTGATGTTTTGACATTTATTTATTTTTGCTACGATGATTAAAGTCTCAAAATCATACAACCACCGGCTATTTAACTTCTGTCTTCAATTAAAAAACTTTTGCAAATAGGTAATAATTAAAAATACAATTATAAGGCACATTTACATTGCAATAAATCATTTGCTAAATTTCAGAGATAAAAAGCTAAACTCTCTGTTACTGTCATTCGTGAAATTAAATATACTCTGCACTTTGCTTTGGTAAACTTCAAAAAAGTGAGGTTAATATTTATTTGGTAATAAATTACCTAACAAATTGTATAAATACAAATTAAAAATGATATCTCACAATTCAATCCTAAGACGAACTTTACCAATGTTAATACAATGTGCAGAAGCACATAGAAAACCTCGATGGCTGCCGGTGGCAAAAAGTAAAGTATTTCGTATACCAAAACGTCCAGTTATCACTGAAGAAGAACGAGTAGAGCTTTTGAGAATAAACAACAATTATAAGACACAGATGCGGGCTATAAAGCGTTTTTATCATGAGGAAATGATTAAAGAAAAGTCTACCCTTGAAAGTGCGAGTTCCGAGATGTCACAACAACTCGAAGCCGAAGAATGGGAGCGTTGTGTAAAGATCAATGATACATGGAACGCGCAAGTTGCTGCAGAACGAGATGAAAGAAGGAAACTTGAATTACAAGAGATGGAGGAATTTGCTCTAGCCAGGATGGAGGCTAAAGACAAGGAGTTGAGAGAAAGAATAGCAAAGGCATCAGAAAAAATTAGAGAGCAAAAGGTAAGTTTAAATTGTATGTTTATTAGATTACTCTAAAAACATAAATATCCAAAGGAATAGATTTAAATAACTCTCAAGTCACTAAGTTCAAAATCCTTACCTTTTCTGACATATTTTCATATATTTATTGCTATAATTGGTGGCTCAGGGGTTTTAGGTGCAATTATCACCATGTACCAATTTGTTTTCTATGTATCCAATGTTTTCATTATGTTTATTACCTTATAGCTAATAGCACTGATGTTCCTATATAAAACTTTTTTACAGAAACTCAGTAGCACCTTTATAACACCAGAAAACCTAGAGGAAGCAATTGATCGGGCATTGGCAAACCCTGTTGACTACAATTTTGCTATTGACTTACAAGGACAGCATTATCTAGGCAGAGACACACCAATACCAACTAAAGAGAAAAAATCTGCAACTAACAACTGAATACACTACTATCTCTAGTTAAATCTTAGTAATATATAATGGAACATTTTGTTTTACTTAATTCTGTGTAATTTAAAAACTTTTATTGTAATTTCTACAATCTATAAAACTACATTAGGGTTGCCCACGACTTTGCCATTGCAAATAAAATGATGTCCTAGATGTTTTGGTGGTTATATGGAAAGAATGTGGCATTGTGGACTGACACAATTTTTAACAACTGTTGTTTTTTTTTTATATTTTTTTTATAACATAAGGTGGCAAACGAGCAAACGGCCACCTGAAATCGCCAAAATGGCGAAGTGACCGCTGCCCATAGACATCTGCAATTGCAGATGCATTGCCTACCCTTATCAGACAGAGGAGGAGACACACATAAAGAGGATGTTTCCCCTTCTTATGCAACTCCTCCACTGTCAAATCCACTTCCTCTTCCCATCCTCTTTTTATAAGAAAAGGGTGGTAAAGAGAAAGGGACTTAAATTAGGCCTCCTGCACCACACTCATCAGACGAAACACGGAATTGCTTCCATTTCACGCCTGTCTTCTATGTAGTCGTGGTATTACACCGGGCGTGCCGGCCCTGCAGTGCTAAGATGATAATGCGGGCACTATTACTAATAATAACTTAATAATAAGCAATGCAATGCATCACAATAATTAAATGTATTTCAAGACACTCCAATTTTATTAATGTATGGACTGTAGAATACCATATATAGAAGCAAAGAAAACTTAACAATACAAATATTTTATTCATATTAAATACATAGATACAAATTAAACAGCCATATCATTGAACATGGTCTGCCAGTCGGGCAGCACGGTCAGTTTGTGTTGCAGCGAGCCGAGTGAGACAAGCTTTGCGGACCGGGCTGTATCCTCCACACTGATCGACACCGCTTCCTGGTGGAAAGCTGTCTTTGTGCCTGGACATACCTGGATATTAATTATATTAGATTGACTCAAAAAAAATTGTATAATTACTGAATGCTAGCTTTCGCCCGCGACTTCATCCGCGAAGAATTAAAAAAAGTAACCTATGTGTTTGTTTTTCCAGACTATCCACTTCATCTATACTAAATTTCATCAATATACATTCAGCACTTTAGGTAACAAAACTCTTAAATATCCATCCATCTAAAATGTTGTATTTTTATTAGCAATATTTGTAATACACTTGGTTGAAAAATATCATTTTTAAGCTTTAGTTTTGTTAACCCCCAATAGCATGGTAAAAAAGGGGAGTGCTGTAAAAATTTATGAAAGACAATTGTTTCCAAATGCATAGAGTGTAAGGTTCAAGTGAAAACATTCAGGGGTATGCTAAAGTGTTACCTCAAAGACAGTGTCTCCTAGCAAGAGGGTGACTCGTCCGGAACGCCGGATCTGCAGCTTGCCCACACGACCTTCCTGCAGCCCTGACAGCACGCAGCCCTCGCCACCCTCACTAGGCTAAAGTTATATGAAACATTAAGGGCCTGTCCCATCACTGGCTGAGGACTTTAAAAATGACATCACTGTCAGTTAAACTAACAAGACCCGATATTTCCATCACATATTTTACAAATTGGATTGTCCTAAGTTTTACAAAAAAATTTCAAGTATAAATTTAATTTTGAAAAAACTAATCCGACTAACTATTAGATGCACATAATCAGGAACTTATATAATATAAATATATTAAATATCATATTTAAAAAACAAGTTATGTACGCGAAAAACATCACTCTCTTTGTCAACCAGATAATAATAAAAAAAAAATAACGATCCTAATGGAAAAAGAAAAAAAAACATTTACAACTATTGAGTAAAACTTACTGGTTCTTCTTGTGTTTCTTTAGAGGGTTTTCCTCGAGAGTCCTCATTCGCGTCCCCTCCCCCACTCCGTCCCGGCAGGGAAGTTGGCAACTACCAGAAACATTATTTTATACCAGAAAATAACAAAGAATATATGCACAAAGCTAAACAATTTTCATAACAAAAGCAAAAGAGTAAGTGGATTTAATTTCTTATAAAATGGCAGAACCAATAGACAACTAGAACAAGTTGAACGCTGACCTAAAGGTAATGCCTACTTTTGTCAAAAAAAAATTACCTGTAATAAAATAAGCGTTGGTTTATCACTTCTTAATAAATTTGTGATATTTGTGTCTTCAAGTTCTGCTGGGATGGTAGGTTTCTCTTCCACTTCTGGCACTGAGTAAAATCAAAGTTAAAAATCATACTAGACTAGCTGTTGCTTGCTACATCCGTGTGGAATTAAAAAGTAGTAAAAGACAGAGTCTATGTTCCTCAGTGATAAGACAGTTTTTTAATCATACTAATAATCTTACTAATATTATAAATGCGAAAGTTTAGCTAGATGGATGGATGGATAGATAGATGGATGTTTGTCAGAGTTTGTAGCCTAAATGGCTAAACGGTTTTCGATGAAATTTGGGATAGATGTAGAGGATACTCTGGAAGAACACATAGGCTACTCACATTTGTTTTTTTTTAATTCCACGCGGACGGAGTCGCGAGCGAAAGCTAGTAATATTATAAATGCGAGAGTTTCGATGGATGGATCTTTGTTATAGTTTGTAGCCTAAACGGCTGAATGGATTTCGATGAAATTTGACATAGACATAGACGATAGTCAGGAAGAATACATAGGCTACTCAGTTTTTTTTTTAATTCCACGCAGAAGAAGACAAAGTAAGCAAGTCGTGAAATAATTTTCGAAATTGCACAGTAGTTTTTAAGACATTTCAATGCATAGAAAAATACAAATCTTTCCTCTTTATATTAGTGTAGCTATATTTTATGTGAATAATTGGTAACTCTTCATTAATGTCTTACTTGGTGAATTAGCATATTCCGTAGGTTCCGTCTTCACAATCACTTCTTGTTTGATTTTTACAGTTGGCTTTGGTTGACTGTATAACCAACCTAAAAATAGAAAAACAGGTGAACCTATTCAGGTTTACATTACCTTACTTTTAATTTACTTAACCAAGAATTCTAGGGACCATGACATTTTTTCTCACTTACAAAGGTTTTTCTGGGACCAAATAAAAACTATTTCTCATGAAAAAAAATTAAATCAAGTAAATCGGATCATAAATCGCAGCGTAATCGTATATACATAAAATATACCAATCAAATTTAGAACCACTTTTTTAATTTGGTTAAAACATACTGTATTTCTTTAATTTTGATTCAATCAGCAACTATTTCTTACATTAAACATACCATCGTCTATGGGCAGTTTGATTGGAGCGTCAATTTCAAAAGATTGCTTAAAGTCCTCCACTTCGATATCCAGCTCATAGTCACCTCCGACCACTGACTTGATCTTCTGTTCTTCTAGTTCTTTATCAATCTAGAAGATAATAGAAATATTTTACACAAACTATGAGAAAATGTAGATTTCTTTACAGTATCCCTTAAAGGGAATCTTATGAACATTGTAAACATATAAATGAATGCTTTAGAGCTTCTGCCAACTACAGACTTTATTGTTGTTAGTTTAACTAGTATTTATGGAGGTATGCACATTACAGTGATTTAATTTTATATAATTTTTAACAAGCCACATCATCAAACTGTCGATAGTCTTATCTGCTGGGAATCCTAATGTTAGAAGTTCTTACTTTAATCACATCCTTTACTCTTATAGTGGGTCTTTGCAGAGTGGGCGTTCCTTCTCCATCACGGGCGTAAGACGGCCCTCTGTACTGACTCCTCTCTACAGCCCCTAAACCTAAAAAGTTAAGTGTATGTGTGAAATTTCAATAAAAAAATAGATAAGGCATGCAAGGTAGAACTCCTTCAAAAAAAATCATTTCTTAAATTCAATCTATTACATGTCTAATTTATGTAGCTAAGTGACTAACACTAGTCAACTACCACAGGACGGACCTTCATAACAATCTTTAGGGGAGGCTTATGCTCAGCGGTCGGCATTGTATAGCTAAAAAGATAGGTGACTATCTATCTTATTAGACTGTTGTCACCATCTTGTTTTTTTTAATTATTACCTAATATGAAATAGTTTTATTGTAGTTGGTGTTACCTTCAGAAAATACTCCAGCAGATTTGATAATTAAAGGACCTTTCTTTTTGTTTTTATGATTTCCTCTATCTCTCCTATCTTTGTCATCCTTCCTGTGATCACGGCTGTTTGCTGAGGGAACTCTGTAAATGATGCAAACAAGGATAATAGTCAAGGCAGAATTTTTGAAAAATAGAATATACAAAAATGATGTAGTAACAAACACACATCCATCTGAATTTTCACATTTAACATAAAAAATCGTACCCCTTGTTTCTACTTCTCGTTACATTTAAATTCGGAGTAAACACCTTTTTATTTGGTTTTACACCACCTAGGGAAAGATCACGCGGTGGTTTGAAAGAAGCCAGTCTCTGTAATGGATCGGAACCTAAGCCATTTGATGGTTTGTCTTGCGAGTTTGACATGATATCAACTATTTATTATTTTCATTGGATCAGGAACCTGCTGCGTAATTTTTGGTTAGTTAGATTGACTTTATCAGCTGTTGGAGAAACAAACCGCAACAAAAAAATAAACATTAACTTGTCAAATATATGTCAAGTAAAATAGCGTAACATGTCAAAATACCATTTTGCACGTCATTAAGTTCAGAAACAAATTATTGGAGTCATCTGGGAACCATGAATTTTCATTTTACACCTATTCGTTTCACAAAAACTCAAATTATTCTTGCTAAATCTCTTTATTTTTATAGAGAAATGCTATGGAAGTAAAATGATCAAAAGACTGTAAAATCTCCGTGATCTATTCTGGTTTTCGTACTGGTAACATCCGAATAGTCAAAAGTCGGTTATCGGGACAGAATTATTTCAAACAATTTAAATTATAATACAATACAGCGAAAAACCAACGACTTTCTGTTTATAAAATTGTTGTTGCTTTAAATACTTAACCTTATAGTGTTTAATAAAATATTGACATGGCTGAATCACTGTTTGATATATTTGGAGATCATATCACAAGGCAAACGAAGAAAAACTTACTTCGCCAACCCCTTTCTAACAACGGTACGTATTAAATTCATGTTTATTATAAATTGTATAATTTCGACTGTTTAATTTGCTTTCATTAATTTGTTGAAACTTACATAACATCTATCGCTTAATTAGAATATAAAAATATTTATATTTAAAACGTCAATTACCCACAAGTAAGTTTAAGTAAGATTAAAAATGAATAAAGAACTTTGTTTTTCTTTTTTAAATAGAGAACATCGGTAAAACCGTTTCAAATGGACCATACAAACCTAACGAACCAGTCAAAAAAGTTGGAGAAACCAAAAAGTCATTTTTATTGAATTCCGGTAAAGCTGTTCAAAGCACCCCAGTAAGGAAGCCGTTATCACCAAAATCTGTAAACGTCGGAGCAATGATCTATACGGATGATAACAATGAAAGTGGAATAGACTTTTCGTATGAAGAAATAGAGTTCACTAAGCCTTCATATAACTATGGTATGTATTGAACATTGCTCTATCAAAAGCTAGTATTATTTACCACTAGCTTTCGCCCGCGACGAATTAAAAAAAAAACAAATGTGAGTAGCCTATGTGTTCTTCCAGACTATCTTGTACATCTATACCAAATTTCATTGAAATCCGTTCAGCCGTTTAGGCTCCAAACTCTAACAAACATCTATTTATCCATCTAAACTTTTGCATTTATAACATTAGTAAGATAAGTAATTCATAAAGTCTGTGGCACTGTGAAGCACTTGACTAGACAATATATGTATGGTTTTGACCACTTCTATGTCCCAATTTGCTAATGTCTATGGCCAGTATTCTTATGCTTGTTGTAAAGAAATTTAGTAGATTACTTGTTTGGTACCGTCTCCTATAAAACTTTTAATTTTTATGTGTTCCAAGATATGTTGGAAGAAGAGAAGATACATTAATTTAGTAAAAAGAATAATGCCCAGATATGCAAAACAATCTTTTTTTTTTCTAGTTGTCTACAAAGACATTGCTAATGAAATGTCTTTTTTTTTGCAGATAATTTCCATAAGGATATGTTTGACTATCTACCGTTACCCAATGTGGAGGTAGTGCATCATATGTCCCCACCTTCTACCCCACCACCAAATATGAGAAGATATTCTATGGAATTGGACTGCTCATATCAGGATGAGTTCTTTACAGGTAAGAACAAGCATACAACTGTAGTACAAAAGGTTATTTTTTTTACAGTATGACTGGCACATATTTTTAAGACTTACTGGGGACAATAGAAAAAGTAAAATAATTTTTATTTTACATGTTTTTTGCCACTATTTTTTTTGTATGAATATGATCTGAGATTTGGTTTTACTGAATAATAATGTACAGTTATCATTATCTAATTCAATAGGAGGGTAGTTGCTATTTCTTCTATGAAAGTATGAACAAATAGTAACTTTAAATGTGATATCTTATTGATTCAATGAATGCTCATGGCATATAAAAGAAAGCAAAAATAAAAGGAGCATTTGGTTTGTGGCATTATGACTAAATTATTAAAAATAAACAGACTGCAGCAAACATTTTTTATTCCAGATGACTTCTCATGTGGCAGTATCCCTGATAACGATGACCTTGGTTTACCAGAGCTCTACTAGTGTATTAATAATTTCTCTATGAAACAACAGGACAAGCATCCAAATTTTCTTTGAAAAACTCCATAAGATGCATCAGATATCTTCATATATTTTAAAGACATTGAATTCCGCCTAATAATGGTTTGTAGTGAAGTAAAATTTGATTTATGTAAAATTGTACAATTAGTAAACTAAGGTTTTCTTTTCCTAATATATTTTTTGCATGTATAGATGTTTTTGCTTATTTTCCTTTTGTGAATCTTTCTTTTTTCATGCATATCTATGATACTGGCTGTCGTATAATCTGTCAATAAGATTAAAATAAAAGAATGGCCTAGGTATGGGTGTCGCCAACTGATGGGTACTTTTACTAGTCCAACATCTAGCAGTGGGCCATTTTTAATTTTTGGAGTCTACCAGACATGGGGCAGGGCAGCTGCCGACACCCATTGATATAAGATGGATGCCATAAGATAGTATATTTTTAGTAATAATGTACTCTTTAATTACAAAATGCTTATATTTTAAATTAAACAAACACTATCAATAGCATTTACATGGGTACACACTCATGACTACCAGCTGATGATATTGTTCTCTTATTAATAGTTCAGTTCTGATGCCATAAATTTTACTTATAATAGATAATAGTTCCCTCTAGTAACTATACCGTCCTTTCATTTGAATTGAACAATGAAAATTATATTATCTGATATACATTAGTTAACATATTTACATTATATAAAGCTATATTTAAATTTCATTATGTTAAATATTTCTTTCCGAGAAATTGTACTTTCTTCTCAAATGCAGGGAATGTGATTGGTGTATCTTCTTTGTAGAAGGGATTCAGCATTAGCTTGATGTATGCTTCATAGACATCATTGAAGAAGTTTTTAATACCATCTTCATTACGAGCATCATGTACCATCACAAACCTCATCTAGAAATACAAAAAAGTATAAAAGTACTACTTTTCATAAATATATGTGTGTGCGAGAGGCCTAATTTTAGTCCCGTTCCCCTTTCCACTCTTTTCATACAAGAAAAATATGAGATGAAGTAAATTTGGCTGTGGATGGGATATACAGGTAGGGAAGTATCCTATTTCTGTGTATCCTTTCTCTGTTATTGATGGTAGGGAACATATCTGCAAATGGACTGTGGTCATTTGGAAAAAAATATACAGGCAAAACCAATTTTAAGCCAATATTTTCTCTATTTCCGTGATAATTATACACTGCAAGAACAATTTCGCTAAAATAAAATCAAATTAGAAATGAACATCAACCAAAATTAAAGTAGTCTTAAGTTTAGTATGTTTACCTGACTTGCTGTCACAAATGCAGACACGAACCACTGGTTGAACTTATCTACAGACTTGAGGTAAGTGTTGGTTACTTTCCACATATGCTCATCCACCAGATCTAGTGCAGCGTGCGCTATAAACTGATTGAGATGTCTATTGTCTTCTTTCTACAAAATCGTCACAAGTAGTTTAAAGTTTACATGCCGTATTTTTATAGTTCTGCCTTAGTTAAGAAAATATCACAAGGCAATAGCTAATTTCATATATTAATCACATTTAATATGTTGTTCTTACCTTTACTTCTTTGGTAATGGGTACAAAATCCATTTCGAAAATTGGATTATCTGAATGACCTACAATAACAAAATAGTATGTCCCTGCCATTAGATTGGATACAAATCTTATATTACTCAATTTATTCTAGTTATTGCTAGTTATCCTAGTTTTAATAATTGTAATCTTTATTTTTTTACATCGATACATCGGACAAGTTGATAAATAATTTTATGTCACTGTCAGTGTCAGTGTAATAGACGTACCTCGCACGTTTAAAAAATAAAACAGTTTCTGTATAATTTAAAATACTAGCTATCGCTCGCGACCCCGTCCCCATAGAATTAAAAAAAACAAAAGTGAGTAGCCTGGAAGTCTGGAAGACTATGCTCTACATCTATGCCTTTAATCGCTATCCGTTCAGCAGTTTAGGTGGTTAATTATCAAACCCCCATCTAAATTTAAACTTTCGCGTTAGTAGTATTTGTAAAAAAAATCTAAAAAATAGGACCAAATACTGGTACCGATACCTTTACCTAAATTAAAACACCAAGTCTGTATCTGTTATTTCAAAGTGGCTGTGTGGTGTCGTACATTTTTCTCAAATGTGAAGAGAAAAATTTAAACCGAAATTGTTTAGATTTCTTTTTGTATTAGTGTTTAAGTTAATTTTTCCCGTCAAATCTTTAATAATGTTTTGTAAGTATTTTTTAATCTTAATTGTATCAAACTCGACACTAACTTTTTGTAACTTTTTAATTGGATTATTTTATTACAGCAATTGATAAGTTAATGTTATGGACTGCCGATAGTTGGAAAAGATATGGTCCTAAACAAATGAATTTAATATTACGAATTCACTGTGATCAATTGCTTATCGCTTCAAATACTGAAATTGTAGAAACAATAAGCATGAGTAATAAAATTAAAGGAGTTTATAAAGAAAACGCCTTGATTTTGTTCATTAGTCGAGCCCCTGAAGAAGTAGGTAGTACTTTATATAAAATGTCATTGTAAATTTTAACTAGTGCCTTAATTACATTTGTTTTTTAGTTACGTAAAATAAAGTTTCAAGTAAAAAGTAATCCAAGCAAATGTTACGAAGAACTAAATAAATATTTTCCAGTTATTAATCACAGTTCTAAACAGCCTAACGATGTTATTACGCCTCGGTATTTGAATATCGAAGATGTGATTTCGCACGTTTTGAAGACTAAAGGTAAGTTAATTTGTTGTTCAAAATTTAAACAACAGCTAAACAATCAGATTCGCACGAATTATAAGATAACTAACATCGCTCTCCACTTAAAGACTATAAAATATTCTACATATTGTATTAATGTTTTACCATTTATTTTCTTTTTTCAGAGCCTACAAATGTTATCTCACATTTGCCGCCGTCGTTTAAAAATTTCGTTCGAATTTGCTTTCTAGATCCAACATTTCCAAAATTAGTTCAAGATGTACAGAGCATTATCTGTAATGAAAGTAAAACTGTTTAAATGATTTCAAAGAAGAATAATTTGTGTTAGAGTAATCACAATCAATACTGTAAATTGTATTTGCACGGAATTTGAAAGTAAAGCTAAAGTTAACTCTACTTTCTTATGTTTTTAACGTTATATTCTACGAGTGTCCATATTAAACTTGTAACCGTTAGCAATAACATTAAATATTTGTAATATGCAAATTTCTTCATAAAGATCTAAATAGGCATTAAATATTCCTGAATATTGATTTTTTGTCTAAACCCTTTTTTAATTTTCCGCGCATTTTGTCTCTTGATTCTTTTTGGCGATAGTATTTCCCATTGGCTGCTGAAAACCATAAAGAAAAGGTTTACAATTTATAATCTTTGAGATAAACCATAGACTACTAGTTCATTTTTTCAGTTAGCAATTTGAAATGTTTTGAAGTTTGAAATTCAACGTTTGCTTTGAATTGTAATTTAAGAATTATAAAGAGATTATTATAATTTATAATAATGTATTCGACAAGATATGTGCCCGGTGCGCAATCAACAAGTCGCAAATCAAGGTAAGTGAGCAATAAAATCAAATGTAGACAAACAAATCATTTCACGACACATTTAAATAACAATGGAAATTTCAAGATTGGAAGGCAAACCATCATTGTTACCAAAACCACGACGCACTGGATCGACGGAGCCCGAGATTCGCCGGCCGAGTGGAGCGGGCCATCGTTCCAGCAGCGCGGAGCCGCCTAGGGCTACATTTGGTGGTCGTCTAAGTAGAGAACCCTCAGCTACCAATTTGCCTCCAAGTAGTTCAGTGAGTTTTTATTATATCTGAGAATATTTATGACATAACTAAATATTTGATTGTGATAATGCATCTTCCTTAACACTGTTTTTACTTATGAGATGTGTATATCTTCCATTGCATTGACCTTAGTAAATAGTTTGAGAGAAAAATAAAACATTATAGTGATTGTATATGCAGTTAACATGAGTTTGTTATTTGTATAAGAGACTGTAATTGTAAGTATGTTTCATTAATAATGCTTGTACATGCCCAATCTATTATATTAACATTTCAGAGGTCTAAATCACAGCAAAGTGATATGAGATATGGAGGGAATCACTACATGTCCACACCACTGCACTCGAATCATAATGCACGAACAACTAATACACCATTGGTAATATCTTTGTTATCATTAAATTATTTGTACAATTGAAGCATTTATCTTACTAATATTATAAATATGAAAGTTTAGATGGATGATTAACAGTTTGCCGCCTAAATGTCTAAATGTATGTCAATGAAATTAGGAATAAATGTGGAGTATATTCTAGAACAGATAGGCTACCTTTGATCCCAGAAATAGTTATAGTACCCATGGGATACATTAATTTTGTTTAATTAATATATTTCATGCAACAGTAGTTGTAACAAGCGGAAGAATTATTATAAAATAGGTTTTTCGAGAATTTTATGTGAGATCTTATTTTAATATGATGTTTGCAGGAGTTCCGTTTACCAGCCAGTGAGTTAAAGCATGGAGTGACTCCGTTACGCTACAGTCATAACTTGACTACCACCCCCAGGGTAAAAATAACCACAGATATATATTACCTAGAGTAGACTTAAATGTACATTTAGTTTGACTCCTGTAAGTGCAGGAAATAACCATGGCATTAAAAAAAAGTTATGTTTTATAGTTATCCTTTTTGGTGTAGTGGTTGCTTTGTGCAGAATTTTAAAAATAATACTCTTTAATGTCACTCAGTGGTAGTATAGTGGTAGTACTCAGCTTTTTTATGGTGAAAGAATTTTTAAAGTTGCCCCTGTGGTTTTTGAGTTATTTCATTACATACAAAAATCTAAAAATACAAATCTTTCCTCTTTATAATGTCGATACAGATAGATATTTCTTTATAATCTAATTTGTTATATTGTATTGTAGAGAACAGGAGATGAGTCCTCCGGACGCAGCTGGGAGCAGGCACTGGATCGCGTTCTAGCATTTGTTACAGTGAAGGATCAGAGGTCTGTTAAAATATCTTGTATGATAGAAAATAACAAATTAATTGTTTTTGATGTTAGTGTCATTCTTTGGCCAAGTGTTTTTCTTAGTGGTGAGTGAGTAATCAACTAAATTCGTCGAATTAGCGAAGTACCCGGTGCTAATAAACATCCGAAATTGCAGATGCGTTGTCTAAAAATAATCATCTGTGCATAGAAAGGATATTTCTCTTTCTATGTGTACCACCTCTGTCAATTTTTTCTTTCCAAACTCCATCCTGTGTCAAAGGGAAGGGTACTAAAAACAACTGATCAAATTCATTTATGCTTTAGCTAATTTTATACATTTAAATTTAGTCCCTTTTCCATCTTTATAAAGTATAGCTTGAAGGAGGTGGAAACAAATAGAGGGAAATGTCATTTCTGTGCAAATTCTTTGTGATTGTGTTTCTACCATTGTTGTGTGTCAGGCCGCTGTCGAGTGCGGGATGGCAGCGCGCGGCGGCGGCCCGCGTGGGCGAAGCCCTATCGGCGCGCGCGGCGGAGGGTGGCAAGGCGCTGGCGCTGCTGCGGCCCCTCACCATCGCACGTTTCATCGACATCGTGGTTGAACTACTGGCAGCCATTTATACCAACCCCACACTCAATACTGACAATTACGTCACAAAGGTAACTGCCGCTTCTAGTACACTCCTTTACAGATCTGTGAAATCTTTTGTACTCGTGGTTGGCCTATAAAGGTGTTATAGTGAAATCGCACATGACCCTGTCTTTTCACAAGGCAGAATATCTTTAAAAAGTGCATTTTTTGACCCGTAGACTAAACAGAAATAAAAAAAACCCTCACCATAATGCGAAATAATATGGAACTAATTTCTTTTAATATGCAAAAATTGGTTGTAATAAGGTTAAGGCTCTTGTATCCTTGAATAAGCCTTATATAACTATCACTGTCAGTTGGTGCTGTATCAACTAGTTTCAGTCCAGTCCAGTCATTCACGTGTTTCTTTTTCTTTCTCTCGCACGAGACGACCACAAAGAAAACAAAACGGTGTCTTTAATGGACATTATATGTAAGTTAAGACATGCTTAATTAGTTTTATTAATGTGTACGTAATATGTGTTTGCAGCTGCCGCACATAACGAAGCGGCTGCTGTACCCGGGCGCGGTGTCCAAGTCGTGGCTGCGCACCGTCAACACGCTGCACGCCTTCCCGCACGCGCTCGCCCTCCTCGCCTACCTCACTGACCTCGTGCACTTCTGTGTCAGTACACACCTCGCACACACCTCGCAGACACTTCGTATACACCTCATACTACACAACTCGCAGACACTTCGTACACACCTCGCAGACACTTCGTACACACCTCGCAGACACTTTGCACACACCTCGCAGACACTTTGTACACAACTCGTACACACTTCGTACACACGTCATAGACACTTCATACACACCTCGCAGACACTTCGTACACACCTTGCAGACACTTCGCACACACCTCGCAGACACTTTGTACACACCTTATAGACACTTCATACACACCTCGCAGACACTTCGTACACACCTCGCAGACACTTCGCACACACCTCGCAGACACTTTGTACACACCTCATAGACACTTCATACACACCTCGCAGACACTTCGTACACACTTCGTAGACACTTTATACAAGCCTCGCAGACACTTCGTACATACCTCGTAGACAACTCGACCACACCTCGCACACTTCTCGTAGACACCCCAAGAGACACGTTTAACAAACCATTATGGTCATTTAAATTATTTTTATGTTTTAGGAAAGTCCAATAGAAGAAGAGTTGATATATCTGGCTAAAGATGATTTAGCTCGACTCAAACAAGATTTTATTTTCCGCAGCTGGCAGAGGTAAGTAGTTACTAAAGATATGAAAAAAAATAACTAATTCGGAAATAGGGTATAAATATTAATTGTGTCCACTTTCAGATTCCAGATGCCAGAGTATCAGTTTGATGATTTAGCGGAGGAATATTTACAGAATCTGAAAATACTTCTTGGGAATGATGATGAGAAGATTCAAGAATTAGAGAGAACAGTTCAGAGTAAGTAGAATATTTTAAATCGCATCAATATTTCCACTCTATCACTGTTAAACTATAGTTTTCTTAACTGTTGTTATTGTGGTTGCGTTTTATTATATTAGTATGAACTATGAAGTATTATAGTGTTAAGTTTTTCGACTAACTCCCATGTTTTTTTTTCGGGTGGTTTATGACATTATCTTGTAGGCGTGGTATTTCTTTCTCTCCAGATCGTTTCTTCATTTCTGAGGGTAGCGATTACTCTCCTTGACCATCTCTCGAAGGGTGTTTCTCCAATCTGACAGATACATCTTTAACATAATTATATATCGTTACGATATGTTTCGATTATGATAATGGACGTTCACCGCGCACGTGGACGCGTGCACAGTCTATCGCGACTCAGCTTGAACTGACAGTTTCACAAGATGGCCGCGATAGCAGTGCGCTAATGGGCATAGAGTATGTCTCTTGTAGACAAATAGATGTATTAGATGGTAACACTAAAAGGGTGGCAGAACACTTTGCGTATAGCGTAACGAATGGATGACGCATCATCTATGGGCAGCGGTCGCTTCGCCATTTTGGCGGATTCAGGTGGCAGCTTGCTCGTTTGCCATCTTGTTATATGTTAGTTATTGGTCTAAAACTTATCGAATGATTTAAAAAACGACCGCTGGGGTGACGCCGAGTTTTGAATTGGCAGTTATTTGCAGTTAATACTTAATTGGCAATCACTTGCAGTGAATAGTTTGCCTCGCGTTTTTAGACGCTTATTCCTCTAATAATAGATATATGTAATGTTTGTATAATGTGCAGAGCAGGAGAGCCAGCTGGAGGACGAGACGGAGGCGGCGGCGCGCGCGGACGTGGCGCGGCGCGAGGGGCGCGCGGGCGCGGTGCGCGCGGCGCTGCGCGGGGAGCGCGCCGCCGCGCTGCACGCCGCCGCCGCCGCGGAGGACGCGCGCGCCGCACGACAACGACTGCTCGATGGACTCACTGATATCGATGCTGAAGTGGAACGTGCTGTGTAAGTTATGTCGTACTTCATATTAATATTATAAATGTGAAAGTTTGAATGGATGGATGGATGTTTGTTAGAGTTTGTAGCCTAAACGGCTGAACGGATCTAAATGAAATTTGACACAAAGATAATAGTCTGGAAGAACACATAGGCTACTTAGTTTTGTTTTTTTAATACCATCCGGACGGAGTCGCGGGCGCAAGCTACTAAATAATATTACTAATGTAGATTGGCTTTATAAATTCGCGTGATATTAAAAAAAACTCAGTAAGTAGCCTATTTGTTCATCCATATTACATCTGTGACAGATTTCATCGTGATTCATTTACTGGTTTTGACAGCAAACTAATTATTTCGCTTTAAAAATCGCATTCATAATATTAGTAAGATGCAATAGTTTAGATGAAGACGAATAATATGACAACTATAAATGGTCTCGCAAATATGAGTGCTAAACCCCCCTAATTACAAATCGCGAATTAGTGTAATGTGAACACAGCGCGGAGAGCCAGCGGCTGGTGGCGGAGGTGTCTGCGCAGAGCATGTCGGTGTCGGAGCGCGCGCAGCTGCTGGAGCAGCTCGACTACGCCTTCCGCGTGCACGACTCCAAGACCGCGCTCGCGGACCACATCGCCAAGGTACACACGCACTGAACCACTGGATAAGTCTTTGATAACGCTGGTCCGCTGCAGTTTGATTTCAAACATGAATTTGTACACTCAAGGATCTTCGCGGTGTTCCATTTACATAAATCGCCACGTTCCTAGCAACTAGCCTCCGCCTTTTACAAATTACCAATCAACTACTGTATAGTGTAAAAACTTTAAAAATAAAAATGATTTTTATAGAAATATGTACAGGAAGAGACATAGAAAACAATAACATTGACAATCTGGTCTAAGTACTTGGTTTTAAGCAATTAGATTTCTCTAACATGTAAAAACTTCTCGAAAAAATGGAAAGTTGTGCAAAAGCAATTAGCCGTTACCAATCTGTATTCAAACGACTGCTTTTAAAGTAGTTCCGCGATAGTACACGCTGGCATGTGTTTGTGTGTGTGTGCAGATGGTGGTGGGCAAGGAGACGGAGCTGGCGGGCTGGCAGAAGCGCACGCTGGACAGCTGCCTGCAGTACAAGCAGGCGCTCATACACCTCGCGCCGCGCTCGCCGGACCTCGCCGACTACAACATCGATGAGAAGTTAGATATCTATACTTATATAATACTTAATATAATAAAGCGTAAACACATACTTCGTGGCGTATAATGTCAGCAATCAGTATATTTTTGAATAATTCTTTCTTTAAAAAAAGCCTTACATTTACGACATGCTTTAGTCTATATATTTTCACACCGTTAAACTTAGGGGTAAATATTTTGGATAAAAACCCTAATGTGGGAAACAGACCATAAGTAGTTGCCAACATCAAGGAATCAAGGTTGTTATGGTAATTGTTATCCAATTTCATAGGCCTTTGTGGTTTTTTTCATTTCATTTCCATTACATATAATTTACATTATTTATCATTTAATTTCTTACTTACGGTGTAACTTCCAGCGAGCTGATGAGTGCGTCGTGCGCGGAGAAGATATCCTCGTGCGTGTGCGTGCTGCGCGAGCGCGCCGCCGCGTTGGCCGCCGAGCGCGCGCAGCGCACCTCCGCGCGCGCCGCCACCAAGCGACACGCGCAGCGCCAGCTGGTATGAACATTACACATATCAATACTAACTATTATTATTGGTTTCATAGACACTTCCAATGTTTTATTATACTACTTTTTACAACTTACTAATGTAAATGTGAAAGTTGGGATGGCTCAATAGATTACAATGACATTTGGCATAGATGTAGAGAATATAATCTGAAAAAAAGAAACAGGTCACTTGAGGTTACCCGCGGAACGCAATCATTTTACTTTTTCATGCTTACTCGCTAATTGAAAAGTTAATTTGGCGATACATCCCAGAAAAATGTCGGATTCTTAAGGGACATATAGTTTTGTGTTTTTCGTACGTTAAAAGTTGTTTTTTTTTATATAAGAGTGGACGAAGTCGTGGGCACTAGTTAGCAATACAATTAATATGTTGACATGTAAAAGGTATCATAAGGTTATACAATAATGTATTCCAGGAGGTGACTCGGGCTAAGATAGAGGAGGTGAGTGCGCTGGTAGAGGCGGAGCAGGCGCTGCTAGAGGAGGAGGTGCGGGGCGAGCGCGAGGAGGGCGCGCGCGCGGCGGCAGAGCTGACCGCGCTCAGCCAGCAGGCGGCGGCGCTGCTCGCGGCGCAGGCGCAGCACGCGCAAGTCGACACCGACCTGGAGTTCTGGAGGCAGCAGGATGTAGAGTAAGTATTTAATAGTTACATCAAATCATACGTTCCCACTGAGGGGTTAAGAGCCTACTCTAAGTTAGGGGTGGCTAGGCTATGAAAATACAAAAAAAAATAAAATAAAAAATAAAATAAAATAAAAAAAAATAAAAGAAAAAAAAAAGGCTATGAAAATACTGGTCCGGTGTACTCGGAGATCCCGGACCTCCAGATGTCACATAAGAGGGAGGTCTAGTGGTTTAAATCCTACATAACCAAGCTTTCCCCCGAGAGGGCAAGGTATCTTTTAAAGATTTCCCCCAACACCAAAAAAGGGTTTGAACATAACAAGCACTAAAGAATCAGTGCATGAGCACTGATTCTTTAGTTAGCTTTAGCTAACAATGATGTTTGAAACCGAAATCCTAGACAAGTCTCCAAGTTTCGAATATAAGAATAGAACAATTTAGTTACATTTCATTAATGTTTGTTTGTAATATTTAGATGGCGCAGCAAGTTGTCGTCGCTGCAGGAGCGTGTGGCGAGCGCGCGCGCGGAGTCGCAGCACGCGCTAGTGCAGGCCACGCGGCGCCGCGCGCACCTCGCACTGCACACCATACAGGTGTTGAGAGATAACCTGCCAAAATGATCACATATCTCGGTACAAGCACGCTTTCGGTTTATCTATACTAATATAATAAAACGTAAACACATTTTGTTATGTATAATGTAATCACAGCATATTTTTGTATAATCCGTTTTTTAATTAAAAGCCACATGTGTCTATAATTACTGTGAATTGGAAAAAATTGTCATACGAGAAAGGGACATAAAATACAAACCAATAGGGAGAATGAATCAAGGTTGCCATGGTAGCGGTAATTTTTTTGACAAACTCATTCACTGTAATTTTAAAAATTTTGACATTTGCAATTGAATGGAATGTAAAGAAAAAATAAATAATAAATAAAAAAAATTAAAATGTGCGGATGAAGCCACAGAGAACAACTAGTATTTTATACAACTATTGATCCTATTTACGGAAATTAAAATGATATTTTTGTTAGATTACGAGATTTTAACTTTGTATAATATTAAGACAGTTTTTTACACCTATGTAAGTGTTACTATAATTAACATGTAAGAATTTAATAAAACATTCATTATTTCGAACGATTCATTATTTTATTTTGTCACTTCGTCCCAACAACCAACTAAGTAGAGCTTATGCTTAATAGAAGATGCAAGAATATGCAGAAATGTTGACTTAATTTCCAAATCAATTGATTTATTTTAGATTTAACAGTGGTGCTTTAACAACTTAGTACGAATAGGCCGGCACGCCCGGTGTAATACCACGACCACACAGAAGACAGGCGTGAAATGGAACCAATTCCGTGTTTCGTCTGATGAGTGTGGTGCCGGAGGCCTAACTTAAGTCCCTTTCTCTTTACCACCCTTTTCTTATAAAAAGAGGATGGGAAGAGGAAGTGGATTTGACAGTGGAGGAGATGCATAAGAAGGGGAAAATAACCTCTTTATGTGCGTCTCCTCCTCCGTTTGATAAGGGTAGGTAACGCATCTGCAATTGCGGATGTCTATGGGCAGCGGTCACTTCGCCATTTTGGCGATTTCAGGTGGCCGTTTGCTCATTTGCCACCTTATGTTATTAAAAAAAACACTGGCCTGCAAAAAAATCTAGTTTTCAAGCATGAGTTCATCATATTAAGTTTGATATTACGTGTTCAAAACACGGAATCTGACGCAATTAAATACACTTGTATTTCCAATACTTCTGTATGATATTTTTTCCCCACAAAAACTCTGAATTTATGGTTATGTGTATGTTTGGAGCCAATCTCGCCCGAGTTTCATACCGATTGTTCAAGGTTTCATATATTTTTAGGTTCAACAGTCACTTCATTAAATGAATAAAACACATGTTTGTATCATCAAAGTATATTATGCAAATAATATATTTAATTGCACAGTATCTTCCACAGCCTCGCAGTGCAGTTTGAAGTCCCGCTGCGCCCAGGCAGAGTGTGCAGTCTGCGCGGGGCGCTGGCGCACGCGCGCTGGCGGAGTGATCGCTGGCTTGAACGACATCTGAGAGCCATCGTACTCGTCGTATATGTGCATAGGACTTCTGTAATCGTATAATAATTGTTACCTTCATCAGCACAGTATGACATACGAAAAACAAAGTAATTCCATGGGAAGACTTAATTTCACGTTTGAACCAGATTCCATATGTTATTCCCTACTTTGTTTCCTATGTCTTTTAATAAGATATGTATAATTATTGCTAAATTATCGAATAAACACGAAAAAATAGATAGATGGATGGATGGATGGATGGATGGATGGATGGATGGATGGATGAATGGATGGATATTTGTTCGAGTTTTTATCTTAAACAGTTAAACGGATCTCAATGAAATTTGGCATAGGTGTAGACGTCTGGAAGAATACATAAGCTACATTTGTTTTGTTTATTCTACGCGGTCGGAGTCGTGGGTGAGCGCTAGTTAGTATATGTGTTGTGTAGTGCATACTTGTGCAGCGGCGCGGCGCGCGCCAGCAGAGTGCCGGCAGCTTGGCGCAGCGCGGGCTGGTAGTGGCGGCGCAGCGCGGCCAGCTCGTGCAGCACGGCGGCCTGCGCGCCGCACTGCGCCGGCGCCCCGCACTGCGCGTCGTAGCGCCCCGCGCCGCTCGCGTCCTCCGGCTCCAGCAGCGACTGCAGGCTGCTGCTGCTCTGTAACACACATTTATTTATACATTTGGTAGAGATATTAGGATGGTAGATATGCATTGCCTACTCTTAATCGACGGAAGACGCACATAAATAGGATATTTCCCCTTCCCATGCGTCTTCTCGGTTGTCACTCTTTTTCTTCCCATCCTCCGCTTAAGAAAGGGGTGGTGAGGGAAAGGGATAATATTTAGGCCTACGTATACATTAGACTGTACGCGTAATGGTTTCCATTATACGCCTATTTTTTTTAAACAACTTCTACTGTTGCCCCGCCTGTACCTGCATGAGGTTGCAGACTATGTGCAGCGCGGCGAGCGCGGCGTGCGGCGCGGCCTGCAGCGCGAGCGTGGCGAGGCGCTTGGCGAGCGCGCGCAGCACCAGCGGGGAGACGCGGCGCGCGCGCGCACACACCTCGCACGCCGCCTCCAGCACGATACGGGCTTCAGAACATGTTCCACCTGGAATAACACACATACTATTGTAAAGAGGAGAAAAAACTGGGTATCTTGCAATTATTGAAATAACTGAAAAACTAAGTCGATTGCAAAAAATTTTTACACCATTAAAAAGCTACGTTATCAGAGTAACATAATGTCATCTATTCATAAGTAGCGGAATTCATGTCCGTGGAATAATCTAACTGTTGCCAGAACAGTTCAGAACAAGACAGTTCTATTACAACGCCATCTGAAAAAGTCACGAAATTAACGCCCGTAGAATTGTGTCTGGAATGTTCTATCGCAACGTTATCTTGTGGCGAATAGCGAAATTGACGCCCGTCGAGTAGTCGAACTGTTTCTAGACTATTCTGTTGCAACGCCATCTGTTAGCGAGTAGCGGAAAATAATTGGCAAAAAATATCTAATACATTCTAATTAAATGACAGTACCGGCGTGCACATTAATAGCATTAGCATAGAGTTGTGCGTGGAAATGTGCAGGGTCGAAGTTGAGCGCGTCCCCCGCCGCCGCCAGCACGGCCAGCGCCGCGCGGGCGCACTGCAGCCGCGCGCGCCGCCCCAGCAAGCCAGCGCTGGCCTCGCCGTCGCCGCACAGCCGGGACAGCAGCGACACCAGCTCCGAGTAATACTCCACGTTGATCACGTGCGAGAATCTGGTGAACAATGAACGTGGATAATTCCCAACCGTCACCTCTGTCCCCACAACAAACATTCATCCGTCCCACCTTTTAGTCCATCACCTTAAAGGTAACAGATGAGCCGTTATGAAATAAAATAAGTTCCGACTGTCCCCTCGTCGCAAAAAATGGGACGGATGAAACTTTTCATTCACATCTGTCTCCATGTATACATAAATATAATAACCACTACTCATTTAAAACAAAACAAAAAAGAATTTTATGTGTTTTGGTATTTTTTAAAAGAATTGCTATAAATTCCTTTACAAGTATTTATATGTTACAAGTAACTAAATTTATTAGAAATCAATATTATTATAATAAAGCGTAAACACATACATCTTTGTTGCCTAAGATGTCAGCAATTATAGCATATTTTTGAATAACTCTTTTTTTTTTGTAAAAAGCCCTACACTTACGTCACGCTTTAGGCTAAATATTTTCACGCCATTAGACTTAGGGGGTAAAGATTTTGGATAAAAACCCTGATGTGGGAAAGAGTCCATAAGTTGCTGCCAACATCAAGGAAGCAAAATTGTCAAGATTTGTCATGTCATGTCATTTTGACATTTGCTATTGATAATTTGATAATTGTAAACAATAAAATAAAACTTTCATAATTTCATGCGGATGAAGCCGCACGGGAACAGCTAGTTTAATATATTACAAGAAGAAGAGAATTTTTATATAGAAGCAAACTAACTTGGCGAGTCCAGTGAGCACGGCCTCCAGCAGCTGCGAGTTGGGAGCAGTCTTCAGGATGCGGAAGTAGATGTTGAAGACGGTCTTCGTCACTTCTGTCAGCTGTTTCTTGCGCGCTTCGGAATCCTCCCGCGCTTCCGTTTCTAGAAGTTCCCGCTCCACTTCTTTTAACTTCTTCGCTCGCTGTGACAAAGAATTCATATTTTTAAACATCAAAGCAACTTTTAAGTCTTCATTGATGACAATTACGTAAGTTTTTCGTTGAATAAATTATTTTTGATGCCAATTGCGATGTATAGTCTGGAAGAACACTTAGGTCACTCACTTTTATTTTATTTAATTCCACGCAGACGAAGTCACGGGCGAATGCTAGATTTCGCATAAAACAAGATGTGAAGGAGTTATAACCAACCTTCTTCTCCTTCTTAGACAGATTAACGATCCTCTTCTTATGCTTCTCTTCTTGTTTCTTCTTATGCTTGAGGTCAGCTTCAGCGTCGAGGTCCACGTCCCGGATGCGCAGCGCCAGCAGGCACTCCAGAGCGCCCGGGTGCAGCCGGGTGCCACGCTTTTTAACCAAGTGGTTGATTAACTTCACAATCTGAAAGGTCATTTGGTACTTAAATTACTGAAAAAAAATCAATTAACAATATCCTATGACACTTTACTAAGAGCGTCGGTGGCTCAGTGGTTTGAGAACTTGACTTGTAATCTACAGGTCTTGGGTTCGAATCCCGCCATGTACCAATGTGATTTCGATTTTTCGTATGTACATAATTTACCCGACGTTCTTACGGTAAAGGTAAACATCGTGATGCACATATCAGAGGAGAAATTCAAAGATATATGTGAAGTCAACAAACCCGCAGTGGGCCAGCGTGGTTGACTATGGTCTAGTCACCCTAAGGGTAGGCTCCGAGCACCTCGGTGGGACATATAGTGAGCTGGTGTTGTTTATGACACTCTTTGAGAACAGACCAATCGAATGACACTTTGTTTAAATTGGTTCAATAGTTTAGGTTATTAGTGGTTATAAAAACAACCACACAACATGCAATATTATTCTTGTCAGTGAGAAAAATGTAGAAAATTCAATGTAAATATATCTATCTAAATATTGTTCTTTTAAGACTGTACTCAGTCAATTCCATAAATATGTGTTTTAACAATTTTAACACTGGAACATTCCAAAATTCATCCATAGACAATAAATATTGTTTGGAAACATGTAAATACAATTTTCCCATTTGTCATTTTACTAATATTTCTTTTAACTATACCAACTAAGCTATAAGCTGGATATGGTTCAAAATAGTCGAATGGCGGGACTCTCTCAAACGCAAAATCTGTAGTCCGTACCCCAAACTATTAGAATATTGGCGTATAATGTGCCATTGAATTCTACTACACTTAAAAACTCTTAAATCTAGAAAGACATACCTTTAATGTAATTTCCCCTTTGTTATCATCAGTAAACACTTGCTGGCAACACTGTGTGACAGTATCGCGAGCGTCCGCCCGCCTGCTGGCGAGGTAGGGCAGCACGGTCTGCGCGATGTTGCCCGCGTAGTTGAACTGCGGCCGCGCCTGCAGCAGCGCGCACAGGCAGCGCAGGCTCACCAGCGCCAAGCTCGTCTCGCTCTCTTCTAGTTGTCTGTGGTACATGGTTGATGCTAACACTGGTAATAACGGCTTTTATGCGTGGTCCACTAGGCCAGTACAGTTGCTCGGCGCTCGAAAATTGCACTGTCATTCAACTGACACATTGTTTAGTGGCTCAGTATTTTTCTAGTCATCACATTTTTTCTCATTTTTCTGTGGTTCTTCTATACTAATATAATAAAGCGTAAACACACTTCTTTATTGCCTAAGATGTCAGCAATCACTGCATATTTTCGAATAACTCTTTTTTTAATAAAAAGCCCTACTCTTACGTCACACTTTAGGCTATATAATTTCACGCCGTTAAACTTAGGGGTAAATATTTTGGATAAAAACCCTGATGTGGGAAAGAGACCATAAGTTGCTGCCAACATCAAGGAAGCAAGGTTACTATGGTTTGACATGATGTCATGTCATTTTGACATTTGCAATTGATAATTTGACAAATGTAAACAATAAAATAAAATTTTTATAATTTTATGCGAATGAAGTCGCCTGGGAACATCTAGTTATAATGTTAAAATATTTATCTGATAAAACACAACACAGTAGTTTTAGACAACTTATTTAATTGATACTGTCGCTTTAAACTCAGAGCAACACTTCTCGTTAGGGCTCCGGTTGCGCGCCAATCTATCCATACTGCTAGTGACATTGACAGCTGTCAGCTAGGGACGTGACGTTTATGCCGATAATCTAGAGTTGCGCCATTTCTACAGCACGGGACTAATTTTGTTCCTAACAGTTGGAAGGCAACTGTTATACTATTATAACTGAATTTTTAATAAGACTTTCAATAATGAGATTTCTACACACCTATTATCTCCTTTCTTTCGTCTCATAACGGAGGCAGCTTTCTCCAGCCGCTGAAGATATCTCTTGTAGAACTCCAATAATTCTTTTTCATATTTGTATAGAGCGAGGGTGTCTTTTTTCACTGTTGAAAAAAGAAATTACTTTATTTAAATCTGTTACTAAGATATCTCATTTCTTAGTAATATTATAAATACGTAAGTTCAGTTGGATGGATGTTATCTCCAGAATGACTGAACGGATCTCGACGAAATTTGTTATAAATGTAGAACATTGTTTGGAAATAGCATACTTTCTAAGTTTTTTATTACGCGCGAACGAAGTCGCGGGTTAAAATTAGTGTATAAGATTACTGTAAGATTGATACAAATATTTTTACATAGGAGTTTGAATAATTTTAACAATTTCGGATGTCTAGTCGGCAGTCGCTTCGCTTTTACTGCGAATTCAGGTGACCACTTCCTTGTATGCCAATTTGTAATATAAAAAATCAATTTAAAAACTCACATTTAACATCAGAGTAATCCTGATGGCGTATAGCATAGTCTGGCAGAATGTCCCGGAACACCTCCGCGGCTGACACCGAGGCCAGCTTCCTTACAGAGACCAAGTTAGGTGTACCATCCTTCAAGTGTTCATCCATTAAATATAGGATGGGGTACAAATTCTTCAGCTGGAAGATATAATTTAATAATATTCAATGCTCATAAAGTTACATGGTAAAATTTACCTAATAATAAACATCCATCCAGTCACAATTACAATATCCTAGCTGTTGCTTGCGACTTCGTCCGCGTAAAATAAAAAAAATACTATAGCCCATGTTACTCACAGATAAATTACCTTTCTAATGGTAAGGAAATTATTAAAAATGACTGTCAATTTTGAGTTATTCACTACATCATCGTCAGCCTTTGTTTGCCCACTGCTGGGCATAGGCCTTCCCCAATACCTTCCACAGAATGCGGTCCTCTGCCTTCTGCATCCAACGACTACATACAAAATTACAAATCTTTCCTCTTTATAACATCTGTATAGATATATAAGTATTACATAGTGACCTTTCTCTCCGGATTCTCAAGCAAGGAAGAGCAGAGTGCTCCAATCCTTAGCTTCTCATGCTTCAGCTTGTCTCTCCTTGCAGCTAATAACTGCACAGCTGTCACCACTTCATCAGTGCCTTCCAATTCTTCTCCAGCAACCTCCATACCCGAATCTGAATCCTGAGACTCCTCTTTGTTCTCTGAAGGCTCTGGCACTTCATCAGGCTGTTCTTCATCTGAATCTGTGTCTAGAAGGTAAGGAAATTACTTATAAACTAGAGTGCTAACTAACTTATGAACTATACTACTAACTTATAAACTACTTATGAACTTAGCTGATGACTTAATCACTACATTAAAATAAGTAGCCTTTGAGCTGTACGGAAGAGTAACACATACTGTGCCAATTCTCCATAAGGACAAGAGCAGCCCCCTTAGACAAAGTGATATTTGAATATCGTTATTGCTGATTGAAAAATCTAAAATGTATGCAACTGACAAACATTTGGATAAGTCACATGCTTGTTTTCATTCATTCCTATGCGTTTTGACATATTTTGTCGATTCTACTAGCAATACAGAGCGAAAGTCACTTTGTCTAAGGGGGCAGGTTTATAAAGAAGCACAGATAAAAAGATCTTTATATTGTTGTTGAGAATTCATAAACAGTTTTGAATTTTTTCTTAACACAATTGGGCTCTTTCATTTGTTTAGTTACCTTCACATTCCTCAGATCTCTCCAAGATTCCATCTTTAGTCTTAATAGGCAGGAGTGGTCGCAGTTTCTTGGCAGGTCTCTCAGCCATTTCCGCCTCATACTTCTCTTCAACATCGCTGTTATCTGTCTCTGTCTCCGCACCACTGTCACTACTTAAAGCATTTTTTGTATGCTCTGGAGTTATCTTACGCTTTTTAGGTTTTCTGTAAAAAGAAATTTATGTTGAAGATAAGTAAATTAATAGGGAAATTAAAATGTTGACACAACATTCAATTTGAGTTTGGGTATAAAAACTGTAAAAAATAGCATATTGCATCAGAATTGGTAAGAAGCATTTAAATGTGAATTTTTTACCGCATTGGTATGATTACATTTTACAAATGGCTTAAAGGCCAAGTAACTAAGCCATAAAATCTTTAAAAATAATACTATGAAAATATGTTATCAAGATTTTTGGGTGTATTTAAACATTTCAGATTCGTCGTGTAAACTCACTTCTGTTCCTTTTTATTTTCTTCAGGTATATTGGACAGAAGATTGGGTTGCTTAGCTATCCGGCCTAATATGTACTTCTGTTCTTCCTCATCTAGCATATCAGCCCACTCGTCCCCGGACGCTGCATCACTGTCGCTACTGTAAATTGGCTCCTGCGTCTGTGTCGGCTGCCTTTGCTTCTGTGCTTTGTTTCTATGTCTCTGCAAACGCAACTTACCCTGCTTTCTCATCTTATTTGTAGTCTGGTTATTTCTTTTCACTTTACTAATCTTAACTTTGCCCTTTTTCTGAAAAGAAAATTGTTTTTAAAGTAACAGACAGTCGAATAACACAACAATAATTATAAGTGATGCGGTATACATACAGCCATTTTTATATATTTGCTTCAGAAACTCGTTAGAAATTGTACGTTTATATCGTGTAAAACGATAATTTTAATTCTTTCTTTTTGATTTAAAGTTTAACAACCACTGAAAATAACGTGGATTTGAAACATGTAGTGACATTGACAGATTTTCTTCAATCTTCAAATGACATTGACAAAAGAAACGAATTTGTCTGTGGTTGACACACAGAGACTTGAAAACCGACTTTATAAGGCAAAAACACCGAAAAGCTCCATGCCATTTTATAACTGGTGTTTCATTTTTCAAATAATGTTGAAATTAAGAACTTATCCATTAATTAATTGCAAAATGATGTTTGATTTGCAGCTTTTTTTCATTTGCGTAAATAACATTTATAATTGACATTTTTTAAGTGTCAGAAGCAAAATTTGAATTAAAACGTATAAAATTTAAATATCCTAATGAAAGTATAATTATGAGCATGTTTGAATGACTGTATGTAATAAGATGTAGAATATTTCTTTTTTTATATACGCTTCAACTTTAAAACTTTTAGAATAAAACTTTTATTTACTGAACGTAAAATGCACTCAATCAAACTTTCTAAACGTCAGTTACAAGACCTCGAAACTTTCTTATGTACTTCTAAATTCTAGTTTTTCTAGTTTCTTTTATATTGAAAACCTACTTAAGTTATTCTAGTTTAAGTGTAAATCAACTGGGCAGTTTTTATAATGAACTGTTACCCTGTGTAGTGTTTCAGTTAACAAGGAATAAGGAATTGAAATGGTTCCTCAACAACAACGAAGAAGACGTCGTAGGGCGGCTTTAGTGCGCACTGCTGAGCGTCGTGTTATTGTAGCTCGTGGTTCTGGTGGATTCGGTTTCACCATAGCCGGTCAGAGGCCATGTATAGTGTCGGCGGTAGCTGCTGGGGGTCCGGCAGAGAGAGCGGGACTTCGGGCTGGTGATGCATTACTTGCAGTGGACGGGACCAGCGTAGCTCGAGCTCCTCACGCTTCGGTAGCCAGGATGGTAGCCGCGGCGCCTGGTGCGATATCATTAAGTGTTGCACTAAGAGAGTCTGCACCAACAGACACGGAGGATACGGAGCCAGAAGAGAGAGCGAGGACTAGAAGGAGGTATCCGCCGCCTCGGAGAAGGCCTCAGCAGGCTATGATGCATCATCCAGGCAAGTATACAAGCATGAAGTATACATATTAAAACTTAGAAAGATTGGAGCTTGTAATATTTGCTCCCTTATAGAATTGATTGTAAGATGGTGTTGGGTTGATAAAAGTCAATCAAAGCTTTGAATAATTTTAATTACAAATATACTGTTCAAATCATAATTATTCATAGCCGATCATTCTTTGTCTTTTACATTTTAGTGATCTCAATGAAGCTTATGGTTAAACTTTATATTGTAATTATTTTTTTATATATAACACAAGGTGATGGTATCAACATTATCAATAAATATAATAAAAATTATTTCTGAGTGAAATAAAAATGTAAATAAGTTACGAATACCGTAAATATTAAAAAAATGAATTTCTTGCAGATGTCTAAGTGTATGGATGAAAATACTAGGTATGTGGGAAATCAAATCAAGTTGTGCACTGTGTTCTCACCATTCATTTCATTTAGTTTGTCAATGTTTATGTTGTCATTTAAACCAAATTATACACCTGCACTGCAATATGAAATAATTTGTATTGTGTTTGTTTTCTAACTGGAATGTGAAAAAGAAAGGTCCAAATTATAACCTTTATGTTTCGGTTGCATATTGTTATTTTTAATTTAGCATGACTTTAGTGCAATGACTAACAATTCTAATTTATTTTATGCTTTCTATGAATTATGCTATTTAACCTGACGTTTATGTTGTATGTTGGCAAGTCTCGTAACAAACATGTTATTGTCTAAATACAGCTATGTTATTCCTGATAAAATATTACAATAAATTTTAATACTAAGATAATTTCCTACCATTTCCAGGTTGTCATGCAGCACCCAGTACATCTGGTGTGAATGAGATACTCCAAAATCTAAGCAGAGCACAACTCACACCGAACCATGCTGCCCGCTTAGAATGCCGCGCTGTTGTGGGTTACCTGGGCACGATAGAGACGCCGCAAGCCACAGCCACAGCTGCACCAAGTAACGTGCGTAATGCAGTCAAGAAGCTCAGACAAGAAAGACGACCGGCTACACCTGTTTTGCTGTCTGTACTCCCGAACGCATTACTTTTACGGCGACCAACAGGACAAGTGTTAGCTCAGTATCCTCGTGAACGAATAGTCTATGCTGGATGTGGCTCAGAAGCAGACAGACGTTATTTCGGCCTAGTAACTGCTGCGGAAATTTCCGGCATCGAAACTGAAGCTTCTCACAGTTGCCATGTGTTCGCTGTCGATTCCAGGATGGCGGAACACGAAGCCCACGTCAATAGAGCGAGGGACTTTCAAATTGTTTGTACCAGAGATCCTGTCGCTGAAAGATGCCTAGAATTTCCGCCGTCAGCTGAATATGTGGTCGGTGTTATACGAGGCATGTACTCCTTACCGCCCGACGATTGTGTTAGCCCTAATTTACAGCAGATATCAAAATTAGCTGTGAAGGGCGATAGTCCGGCCCTGGGGAACTTTTCTAGATGTAACAGACCAGTGTTCAGAGCCCAGCGTGATAGAAGACCGTGTAGACAAGAGGATCAGAGAATTGATGTGCCCGAGTTTGTTGCGAATTCCCCTCAGCCGAGCAACCATAGCGAAGTAACGACGACTTCTAGTAATAGCGATTCCGGCATTGGGTTCCATAATGATTGTCGAAATATTGCGGATAGGATACTGGTGGTGGAGTTCGCGGGGCAGCAGCCGCCGCCGAGCAGGTTCCGACAGGAGATGCCGCGTAGACCGATGGGCCTGGTGGGCTGCAGCAGCTTTGATAACGACGGCTCCTTCCTGTCTAACACTACACCCGTGGTAGACGGCTTCGGAGGTCAGGGACGACCGTTGAATCTGGATGACGTCATTCTGAACGCTAACGACTTGCCCCGCCCCGTTGGCCAACGCACCGATGAAGACAGCTACAACTATAACAGCCTATACGGGAATCTTCCGACCAGTTCTCGAAGCTTCCACGGGGTGGTATACGACCAGGTGTACACGGAGAACGAGGGGCACTACGAGCTGGTTCCTCAGGAGCTGGATGATATCGACCGAGTTGCTGAGACGTTTAATTCTGTGGAGATTTACGAGGATAGGTCGCGACATCCGCCAGACTACCACTCCAATGAGTCTGTGGAGAATGTGACGGTGGTGTCGGGGAGGAGTGCGGCGAGTGCAGCGAGTGCGGACTCTGTGTCGGTGTATTCATCGCGCAGTCACGAGGAGGCGCGCCCTCGTCGGCGACACTTGCAGGCCTCGCTTGACGACATGTTAGTGCTGGGTCTACGCGACCCGCCGCCACCGGACAAGGATGATGGCAAGTTCCTGCATCCCGCTAGCGTTAAATGCAAGGTAATGTTATAGTAATTATAGTTTTGCTTTGCATTCTAAATGTCATCGATGTTTAAAGCAATATTTAATGTTTCAGTTCCGTAAATCGAAGCCTTTAAATATTCTGTCTAAGACGAAGAATATGCTGACTGGCAAGGAGTCTCGTAATGGGGGTGATAAAGCGCGGGAGCGGGAGGGGGAGGCTGAGGGACGAAGACGCGCGCTGAGTGCGAGCGCGGGCGACGTGTCGGCGGAGCAGCCCGATGCCGCCGGGTTGCCTGCTGCAGCCAGCGAGCCCGACCTGCGCGATCAGGTCAGTTACTATTTTTTATTATTTTATTTTCACTTTGTATTGTCTTGTATACATAATGCAAGAAGCTATAATGCTTTATTCTAGGTTTAACTTCTACTTAATTGGTATGTTTTATTTTGGTCGTTTTCGTGAGTTTGCAACCATTTTTGGGTACAGTCGAGAAATTTGGTAGTGTTCCTCTTTAAAGTTATAAGTTCGAACGTTTTGTGCACATTAAGACGACGCGAAACAATAAATAATACGCTTTTAAATGTGTTTGTACGAAGGAAGTCACTGCTATCTTATTGGTTATTTGTAAGTACCGGAATTAATCTTGAAGAAAGAATTTATTCCGTAACTGCAACACCGCGGCTTAACCTGACTGTATAGAAAATTCAATTTAATTTTATGTTTTGTCACGTGATTTATTTGACCTAGAGAATATTGTATATTGACATTGAGAATAGTTTAGCGAAGATAATCTATTTCCTAATTACAATCAATTGTTCAATTGTCCGTCAACCCGCATGCCCTGCCCCGGCCCCGGCACCGGCCCCGGCACCGGCTAACGCTGACCCCTCGTCATTACCTCGACACAAACAACTAACTATTCTAACAGAATGTGAAAAAGGAAATATCTCTAGATGTTAACTTTTATCTACAGTCGAATTTATTGAAAGTAAGAAATTATAATAAACCAGTCTAAATAGTTTTACCTTTAAAGGGCTTTAGTCACAGAGTTATAAAAAACAAACATGTTTGCATTATGAATTTAAACAAAATGCTGTTCCAAAATACATCAATAGACAATGAACTACGTTGTCAACTCTTAAAAAAAACTCATTTGCAGAATTCATACATTTATTCATAAAATATCGATTGTAATTGTTTGTTTTGGTATTTTGAAAACAGTAGAAATGTAAGTCTGTGTAAAGTGCCTTGAAATTTAATATACATACTAAAAGTTTTTTTATTCACCACAAGATGTTGCTACATCTTCAACTAGACGTAAACTAATTTTAAAATAATGTTTGTTCATCTTTTTATTACTTCGACTTGAGATAGATTATGTAAAGAGACAACGTACGCTGTTAACCGCTTCAAATCGGTTACAGATAAAATTTAATACAGAGTAATTTGTATAGGTAATACCTGTATTAAATCATGTAGATATGTAACATTTACATTATGTATTTTTATGGTAATTTAATAATTCGATGACAAGTGACTGCGTACGCAACTTTTTTTTATAAGAAACTTCTAAGTTCGTAATGCTCGATAATAAGTTACATTTCTATTTTACAATTTATGCTATTATATATTATTAAATAAATTATATTAATATATATTAAAAAACTAGCTGTTCCCATGCGAATTCATCCACAGGTAATTGTAAAAACTTTATTTTATTGTTTACATTTGTCAAATTATCAATAGCAAATGTCAAAATGACATGACATGATGACAAACTTGCTTCCTTGATGTTGGCAGCAACTTATGGTCTCTTTCCCACATTAGGGGTTTTATCTAAAATATTTACCCCCTAAGTTTAATGTCGTGAAAATATATAGCCTAAAGCGTGACGTAAGTGTAGGGCTTTTTTATTAAAAAAAGAATTATTCAAAATTATGGTGTAATTGCTGACATCTTAGGCAACAAAGTGTGTGTTTACGTTTTATTATGATAGTATAGAAGAATAGATAAATTTATTCTATTATACGATATTATGAAATAAAAAAATAACATGAAATTTCTATTATACAAGAAACTTCATGTTTTATTGAATTTTAGGTATTTACGTTTAGAAATATGTCCAGAATTTTTTTTTTAAGGATTTAGATAAACCACTTTTCAAGGGTTTATCGTTTTTCTAGTGGTTTTTGGTCATAAGTGAGAAAGATACTATCATAAATCTGTTAATATTTATGTTATTTAAACAAGCGTCTCCAAGGGCCTAGTTATATAAAGAAAAGTATTAATAGCTAAGGTCGTCTGTCCGTCTGTTTGTTTGTCTGATAATTCACTACAAATAGATAAGAAACAATTATTTTTTAACAATGTTACTAGAAATAAGATGCTTTGGTATTGATTTTTCAAGAAACTGTATTTCATATTGTGTTATTAGTGCGAATTAGCGAAATTGTTGGTTACAATTATTTACGGAGAAGTTATAATTTTAAGCTGGTATTCTTTGTTTTAAGAATATAATTAAAAAAAAAATACAAGCAAGTTTTTTTTACATGTTTTGCTAAGTAAGGTTTAATTCATTAGGTCTACTGCAAATATTATTTCTGAATACGAAGTTTGCGGTCATACGTGACTATTTCTAATTCCCCTTGACCTATTTCTAAGACCCCGATCTACTTACGATATTAGCAAATACATCCAAAGTCAATCTTTGATCTTTGCAGTTAAATTGACTTAAATTATCCTATCGTCTGTAATTATGGAAACGTTTAGTTGTAGTATATTTTATGACCTATTGAAGTCCCATTTTCCCACTCTGTATCTCGCAGACATTTACTTTAGTGTGTCTTAATAATTTAGATAAGTATGACAATTCATTTCAAATTTAGTAGGGATGGGTTGTGTAAAATCAGTCATGAATCTTATCGATTTTCGATTTTTTTCTTATAGAAGTTGGAATCGATAGATTTATAGTTATAACTTATGAATTAAAAAAAAACTGTTTCCACAAATTAATAATGACCATACTAATGAGTGTAAATAAATGTTTATTACTACTACAGCCGTACGTAATCAAATTGGATTTCGCTATTATTTCTGTCATCGCTAAGTTCTCTACACTATAATCAATACTAGAATTGTGCTATAAATTAGCGAATAAGAAAATAATAATTTTAGCTGAGTTCGATAATTATTCCAACCGAATATCGGTAGTTCAAAATTGTTCGCTGCGTGTTTGTTTCGTCACTACGATACCTGTCTATTAAGTGTGGCATTTGCCTTCATAGAAATTGAATTCGATACATCATATGCGTCATTTATCAAACTAATCTATCTTATTTAGACACACTATAAAGTTATTGGTTTAGGTAAACTGTGTTGCCATATTTGTTCTTTAAATTGTAAACTCTTACCTTTTTTAGCGATTGTACACTCGCCCGATCTTTGAAGTACACTTCTTTAGCAACTAAGTTAAATTATTAGGTGATTTCACCAAAACCGATTGGATGTCATTAATTTTCGTTAAGTCTGATACATTTATTTTTCCTTATAAAATTGTGCATTGGCAAAAATTTGCTACTATACTAACGAATGTGTTTTCTTCTTTCTATAGTCTGAATAGTGTCAGTGGAAACCTACCTTTATCACTAAAACTAGTAATAAACAAGTGAAGGTCAAGAATCAAACACGATCACATAAATATTTATCAGCGTAGATTTGAACGTAAATATAACTGATGATGGGGTCTCGTTCATTCATGTTAACCTCCACTTTGTTGTGTTGCACTGGAAAATCTCAACTATGTTAAAAATAAAATAAAAAAGAAAAAACTATTGACAAAAAAAAAGAACACAATTAAATTATAACTTTTGTGAGACATTTTATAATTAATTATTTTACGGCTTACTCACGTCATACTTTTTTCCGGTGACGGCACCGACCAGTTTTAGACCCTGCGGGGGTCCTTCAGGGCGAGGGTTAATGATGTTGTATCGTGGTCGCGACGCGACCTCTGCAGGGTCTGAAACTGGTCGGTGCCGTCACCGGAAAAAAGTATGACGTGAGTAAGCCGTAAAATAATTAATTAAAAGAACGCAACTTACAAACATATTACTGAAATAAAAATAAAAAAAATCTTGGCCAAAAAGAAGGCTCAGCTGATGCGGCCTCCAGTTTGTCACTAAAGGCCGCGCTGGTTTTCAGACTCCCCATACAGGGGGCAGTTGAGATATGATACCGCGTATGATATGCCGGTTAATACCCCGAAAAGTCGAAATAAGCAATTGTTAAAACAACATAATTCTCGCCCATAACCCAGAGGTGTAGGCAGGACTACGAACCTCTATTTGGCTTGACACTGACCTACATCTATTCTTATTTTATTGTATGGAAAATTAGTAGTAAAAGTGCGTATGAAAGTAAAGCAGATTATAAAATACCTCTGTTCTTCGCACCTTCGTCTGCGTGAAATTAAAAAATAATAAAAATGTGGCCAGTGTTAATCATTGATTACGTAACTTTTTAATAGTGAAAAAAAAATGAAATCGGTCCATTAGTTTTTGAGTTATCTTAATACATACAAAATAAAAAATCTTTCCTCTTTTTAATATTAGTATATATGTAATCTGATTTTTGATTCACTGTATCGTCCTTACATCATTTATGGGTACCTATTTACGGTGCGTAGATATTTTTTATTTATGTACCCATGTTATTTCCGTACCGTTTGCTTGAACTTATGTACGTAACTCTTACACACCTCCAGAAGATCACGATTGGTAACCAATCAGTATCAGTTCTAATGTTATAGTAAAATATTGATCCATTTTACACAGCCATAAACGATGCAATGCTAAACTGTAGCGCATTGCGCAGTATTGCATGTCACCGGTAGATAATAAACGCCGGCAGTTTACAATTTGTCTAATGCAAATCGAATTCTTTAAGAGCGCACACCTTTGACAAAATTATCGCACAAATGTGCGATTGTCGATTGTTTCAGCCAATTCAACTGTTTAGTTGTACAACTAAAAATTGAGTATTGTGCGCACTTCCATATAAGCTCATAGGAATCAAAACGCGACTAAACAGTTGTGCGATAGTTTAGTCAACGGTGTGCATAAGCTTTTATCTGCACAGAAAATTACATTTATAAATTGTTTAAACACAATTCGTCAATGTGTGAATAATGCTTAATTAGCAGTTACAATAAATCGCTTAGTTTTTTAACCAGACCAATGTATACCGCATATTGTTAACAGTGTGTACCAGGTCAAGTAATACCGTTTGCTACCAAGTCAGCACGTAGTTATAGCAAACCAATTGATAGTAGG